TGCATTAAAAAGAGTGTGGCCAGCAGGTCAAGGGAGGTGACTGCTCTACTCTGCCCTTTTGAGGCCACATCTGGAGCACTGTGTCAGTTCTGGGCTCGTCAGTTCAAGAAAGACAGGGAACTTCTGGAGAGCGTCCAGCAGAAGGCCACAGAGATGATGAGGGGCCTGAAGTATCTCCCTTAGGAGGAAAGGCTGAGGAACTAAGGACTGTTCAGCCTTGGAAGACTGAAAGGGGATCTTATCAAACATCTACAGGACACGTGTCAAGTGGAGGGGGCCAGGCTTTTTTCAGCGGTGCCCAACGACAGAACGAGGGGCAACAGTCACAAACAGGAGGCAAACGGGCAACAGTCACAAACTGGAACACAGGAACTTCCACATGAACATGAGGAAAAAAATTCTTTTAGAGTGACTGCACTGGAACAGGCTGCTCAGAGAGGCTGTGGAGACTCCTTCTCTGGAGGCATTCAAAACTCATGTGAACACTTTCCTTTGCGACCTACTGTAGGGAACCTGCTTTAGCAAGGGATTGGATTCAGTGATCTCCAGAGGTCCTTTCCAACCCCTATGATTATGTGATATAGTGAAATTAAGAGCTCAATCAAACAAGTTAGGAGGAGTTAGTGCAGGAGTTTGAGAACAGTTATGCGGCTTACAAGTTCTGTTGGTGACCAAAACAAGAGATCTATGGGAATGAAATCTGACCTGTTCCATTACCATCAGTGTAGCAGTAACAGTGCCACATAACTCTACATTAGTTATTTTATTAGAGCATAAGAACAGCCTTATTCCTCATTGTTTTTGATAACCAGACACTCTAATGAGCCCAAGCTGCCAACACATCATTAGATCAGAAGAGGAGAAAGAGAGATTTGCAAGAAAAGAAAATAGATGAATGAAGTTGTAATTAGCATATGTCAAGGAAATGCAACGTGGTTAGAAAGAAAACAACATTAGTTTAACTTTTGTGTAGCAGCATAAGAATTTTTAGGTCTAGTACTTGGGGCCTCTAAAATATACAACAGTAATTCTCCTCCCTCTTCTGCAGCTCACATGGGAAGGACAGAAGATGCCTCCAGCCCACAGGCATCAAAAACCCATAATCAAGAAACGGTGAAAAGTTCTACGCTCCATTAGGGGCTGAAAAGTAAAGCTTATTATTGGCAAGAGGAAAAGCCCAAGTGGAGCAAGTATACACTCACCATCCTCTACATTCATTTTTGTGGTCCAGCAGCAGTAGGAGCAGATTTAATTTAACACATTGGGAGCTCCAAAGTTGCTTCCTCCATGTTTTTAATGTGTATTGAGCATGCTCAAGCGTGCCTCACAGAGGAGGTGAAAACCACTGCTTGCTGGGAGCGAGAGGTTAGAATGTGGAAGAGGTGGGAGTGTGAATCCACACACAGGAAAGAAAGAAATCACATGTCTCTAAAATACTGAATGTCCTAGTCTGAACTTTTGGCAGGGAATGAAAACAGAGCCACAGTTCATCCTTGTTAAATATTAGGCTTTTTTAATATGTTACTTTTCACCAGCAGAATCAGAAAGTACATTTATTTTGTAATTGACTATGGTACATTGTTGCTATGATAGTAATGTTTCAGGAAATAAAATGTGCTTAAATAATAGTTTTCATTTAATCATTTTTTTCCTATCCTGTAAAGTTCTAAGTAGTGGTTTGCACAATAATTAAAATCAGTGTGTTTTAAAATCAAGCTGTTATTGAAACTGTAATTTTGATTATTACTAGCAATTTGTGCAGTTAGCTTAGGTGGCTGTTTACAATGTAGCTGGTCTGATGCAATTATTACCAATAGCGCTAAGATGCTGATTCTTAAATATCTGTAGGAATCAGAAATCTCACAGCAAAAAAAAAAACAACTTAGAAAAACCAGATAGAATTATATTCGTTAATGGTAGAAATATCCATCAACAAAATAGTTCTCCTGATGTGGGTGTCTTTTAAATCCTGTGCTTCCTGCAGGACATGTGCTCCAGAACCTTCACAGCTTCATTGCTCTTCTCAGAACGCGTTCTGGGGCCTCAATGCCCTGGATACACTGGATCGATTGATTGATGGGCCAAGGCAAACTGCATGAGTTTCAATAGGGCCAAGTGTCAGGTCCTGCATTTTGGTCACAACAACCCCAGGCAACCCTACAGGCTTGGGGAAGAGTGGCTGGAAAGCTGCCTGGTGGAAAGGGACCTTGGTACTGATGGACAGTTGGCTGAATATGAGCCAGCAGTGTGCCCAGGTGGCCAAGAAGGCCAATGGCATCTTGGCTTGGATCAGGAATGGAGTGGTGAGCAGGACTAGGGAAGTCACCCTGCCCCTGTATTCGGCACTGGTGAGGCCTCACCTCGAGTGCTGTGTTCAGTTTTGGGCACCTCAGTACAGAAAGGACATGGAGGTGCTGGAGCAGGTCCAAAGAAGGGCAACAAGGCTTGTGAAGGGCTTGGAGAATACGGCCTAAGAGGAGAGACTGAAGGAACTGGGGCTGTTCAGGCTGGGGAAAAGGAGGCTGAGGGGAAACCTTATTGCTTTCTCCCAATATCTGAAAGGTGCTTACAGCGAGAGCGGGGCTGGTCTCTTGTCACTGGTGACAGGTGGCAGGATGAGGGGAAATGGCCTCAAGTTGTGCCAGGGTAAGTTTAGGTTGAATAATAGGAAACAATTCTTCACAGAAAGGGTTGTGAAGCACTGGAATAGGCTCCCTAGGAAGGTGGTTGAGTCACCATCCTTGGATGTGTTTAAAAACTGTTTGGATGTGGTGCTCAGGGACATGATTTAGCAGAGGGTTGTTAGGGTAGTTTGATTAGGTCATAGTTGGACTCGATCTCTAAAGTCTTTTCCAACCTGAGTGGCTTTATGATTCTCAATGTCTATGATTCTCCATGTCTCGTAGTGGGGGGCCCAAAACTTGAACACATAAGTCGAGATGTGGCCTCACCAGAGCTGAGTACAGATGGATGATCCCCTCCCTGCTTCTGCTGGCTGTATTTCAGACACAAACCAGGATGCCATTGGCCTTCTTGACCACCTGGGTGCACTGGTGGCTCATGTTCAGTTGAGCGCTGGCCGACACCCCCAGGTCCTTTTCCTGTGCATAGTCTTCCAGCCGCTCTGCCCCAAGCCTGTAGTGTTTCAAATACATTCATTTTCTTTATTCTCAGAAATTTCTAAAGGTATGCAGACAAGATCCATTAGTTTCAAGAGGAGTGTTTAAATGCAGCTTTACTGTGTGTGGATGTTAAGCTGAAGTGCCCCCAATGGGACAGTTGAGAATTTCTGAACATCTGGTCAGTCAAGGATTGAATATTAGAAAATTATTAACTTTTATAAAATTTTAATGGGAGAAATGCCCTTTCAATACAGACCATTTTTATATATAAATTATATATTTATATTTATATATTAATATATATTAACATATCAAAACCACACCATAGAAGCTGGGCAGACAAACAGTTAAACCCACAGATCAAGGGTAGGGTGCACAGGAACAGTGATTACAACACAAATGGTGGCCAGTAACCCCTGAAACCAAGTTAGCAGGTGCTGGAACAGTTTGCCTGAGTCCTTACTTCCAATGTTACTGCAGCAGAAAGACAGATAAATCGTGTATTTATTGAACTGCCAGGACATTAGTACTGTTTAACAGCATATCTTTATGATCTCCTTCAGGTTTCACTGAATTCATCAGATCAGGTTCTTAAGGTCTTGATATCTAACTGAACAACAGCAAATATATATCTATATATATCTTATATATCTTACAATGTTTCAGCTGCTGCTGCATTTGAGGGGGGTCAACTGCACAACCCAAATCACCCTCAGGATTTAGCCAAAAACTGCTAAGGATTTTTCCCCATTGTGAAATCTTCTGAGGAAATAGAAAATTTGAGGTTTTGCATTAAATCTTCATGCATTAAGGTCTACTTGTACTTCATAGAGAAAAAAAAGGCAGATTAATACAGCTTTTAGAAGTGTAAACAAAGCCTATTACGACCCTCAAGTTGTTATGCATAGACTGAGGGACCTAAAGAGCTGAGCTAGGGAGTACTCCTGACCTCAGAGCCCTCTCTGATGCTGGAGCCAACTGCCTTTGCTGTTAACATATCCCGTTACAGTGTTAATTAATTACCATTCTCCCAGTTCTCAGTATGGACTGGGAAGTAATAGAGACTAGGAACAACTTTCAGCAGCTGGTATGAATGTGTACACCCTGCTTTGGAGGGCAAGGAAGCTTAAAATGGTCATGGTCAGATTCCAGTTATGTCCTGGCACTATTCCATTTACAAGATAGATGCACCAGCATTGTCCCTCCTCTCCAGTGCCCTAAAGAACTGGTCTAAAGCACCACAGTATGCCCAGACCCCTGAGATGGACAAGCTAAGTAGCAAAGCTAGGGCTGCTGCCACAGCACGTATCTGCTGCTCAGCCTGACTGTGTCAGAAGACAACCAGAAAATCTAAACCACAGGCTCAATTTTATGGAGGGGTCATAGGCACAAAAGAAGGGCTAGAAATGTGTGCATTTTTTTCTGTTGAAGTTTGTTATTTGTAGCAAGTAATTCACCTGATTTTTTTCCCCACATAGTATCTTTTACTCGGTAAAATATTTATATTCCAGAAATGCCAGGTATAGAAATTTTCATGTCCAAAGGACTCACGTCTTAAGTTTCAGTGTGAAAACAGTTCATGCATGGAGCATAAACAAGTTAGTGCAAGCAGTGATAATGCCTTAATACTACTTTATGTTATCTTTGTTTCTCACGTGAGCTGGAGTAGAAAGAACTTTCACTGATATCCTTTGTGCCTTATCTCTCCTGAAAGGACTTTGAGGCTGAAAGGTGAGCAGCAGAAAGGCTCAGTGTTGTGTAATGCTCACAAACCTTGATCATAGGATAGTAGTATCATTAGGATACCCTGTGTACTGTTTTACAGGCTTTTTTATGCCCTCAGCAGCAGGCGGCAGGTGGGGCAGCTTACATTTGGCCTCAGAAACCTTTTTCTCTCAAAAAAATAAAACACTGTAGTCATGTTGAGAGGTCTTCAGTCTGCCTTGTTTCCCACAGAGCATTGGATCCCTCCTGTCCCCAGAATGCAAGGATTTGCTGTGGGCCGGCCAGCTGGCACTTGTCAGATTTTGGATTCCAGATATAGGAAAGCAACATCCAGCACACAAGAGATCTTTTTCCATTTAGGATATCCTCATCCCATGGAAAGCTGTCTGCCAAGACCACCATCGCTCACAGTGGTTTTGTGTTCCTCTTTCAGAAGCCGAGGAAAGCAGAGGGGTGAACAGAACTTGTATGCTTATTGTATGACGCATCTTTCTATTCCTTCACACAGGTTCCCATTCTGGAATTAGGCACAACCTAACGCAGGAAATTAAATGTACGTGTAAGTTTTTGCAAGATGAGGCCAAAGTAAGCCCTACAGCAAGGAAGGAATTTAAGTTCAAGTTTAGCTCAGCGATCAACAGTAATCCACATCAAAAGCCCGCAGGAGTTCAGCCCAGTTATTTCCAATCAAAAAGATGGTCAACTATGCACTCCGAATAGCAGACTTCTATTGGTGTACAATTTGTGGAAACAAGGTAAGAGTTGGCATGTTTTTATCCCCAAGACGAAGAACGGGGATAGGAGCAATGCAGGCGAGCACAACCCACGCCCCTACCCTTCATTCCCGCCCTCTCCCCGCGCCGCCATTTCGGCGCAAACGCCCCCTCTCAGCGGGCAGCGCTACGCAGGCGCCAGGCTTCGGTGGCGGCTCTGCGTATGCGTTAGGTTCTTGCGCATGCTCGGAGCCCACTTGGGCTCGCTCTGCTCCGTACGTTTCGTAGCAACTGTACGCAGTGCGTTATAGATGTCCGCGTCCTCACCCAATCGCTTGGACAGTGTTGCCGGACCGGGCGGCCTGCGCAGCGCTCGGAGCTGCGGGAGCGGGGCGTTCGTCGGCAGTTCGCGGTGACGTCCTGAACCCCCGCGGCGCCGCCGAGGAGCGCCGCCGAAAGGAGCGGTTCTGCCTGGGGCGCAGCGACACAGCGGGCGGACCCCAGGCCGGCGCGGGGCTGTGCCGGGACGGGAGAGCGTCCTCCTGGCGGGGATCACTTGCTGAAGCGCCTCCTGACAACACGTTTGTCGCGTTTAGTGTTTCGAGGAAGAATGATGCAGAACGTGCATCTAGCTCCTGAAGAAGACGAGGATGATCTTTACTCTGGCTACAATGATTATAATCCCACTTTTGACACAGAGGTAAAAATGTTTGCTCTTGCCCGCTTTTCCTGCAGAGTATCAATTTTTGCGTATGAGATAAAAACACACGAGTGTGGTAATGTGCAGGGACACTTTGAAGTGAAACGTTCTGCGTTTTGCAATAAATACAAAGCTTCACAAGTGTCTCTTTAAATAATTTTTTCTTTCTGATCGTTTATCTGTACCAACAAAATGCTTTTGCGTGTCTCATAACAAGTCTAACGTGCCATAAAGATTAGGAAATCCTAATTATCTGGAGGCTGTATGGGCATTCATTGTGGTGTTTCTCAGTGTGCAGCAGCAAGTTTCCTGATATTTAGCCATCAACAGGTCATCCCTCTCTTAATGTGCTGGAGCTGAAGGGAATGAAAATGCAGTTCCCACTCTGCTGGTCCCTGCCCAACTTGCAGAACATCTGGGGTAGCAAAATAACCCTACAGTCCAATATTGAAACCTTCTGATATACTGGAATTGGAACAATTGTAGGGAGTGAGGGGGTCTCATTTGGTCCAAGTCCCACGAAGTCACAAGACTTTTTTGCTAACTTGTGTGAAATCCCTATACCACAGTCCTTGGAAACTTTGGTGTGACCTCAGATAGATATCTTTATGCATGTGTGTGGCAGACATTGATGTCAGTTAAAATTCAGAAATAGTGCTAATAATGAGAGAAATCACGTTATATTTCATCACTTAATCTCTGCTTCTTCAGTGTTACTTTTTTTTTTCCATGGAATAATTGATTTTTGCACTTCTTATTCTGTAATAGGAGATAGACCAGCTGCAGTCATTACTTATTGTCAGTAAGACCTGTAATTCAGTTCTAGTTTTAGTATTTTTGGAAGAAGAATAACTTTTTACCTATGTGCTTTCAGTAGTCATAGTGTTCTGGGATTGTGGCTTTGGATGTTGTGATTTAAAGTTTTATTTTATTTTATTCTTTACAGGATTTAGAAAATGATACAGTTTTTCAACAGGCAGCAAGAACAAGTCATGGTAGAAGACCCCCTGTAAGTAATTTATAAAAATATAACATAAAATGGTTTGGTTAAAAACCATCCAGTTCCACTCCCACCCTGCAGTGTGCAGGGGCAACTTCCTCTAGACCAGGGTGCCCAAATCCCCATTGAGCCTGGTCTTGAGTGCTTCCAGGATCCACCCATAAAATCTATGCCTCTCTATTTTAGAAACAAGAATGTTGTGCCAGACAGCATCTAATGCTTTGCACAGGTCTTGGTAGATGACATCAGTTGTTCTCGCTGTATCTGTAAATGCCTATCATAGAAGGCCACCAGATTTGTTAGACATGATTTGCCCTTAGTGAAGCCATATCTCCTGCCACCAGCCACCCCTGTGTTTTTCATGTTCCTTAGCCAAGTTTCGAGGGTGATCTGCTCTGTGTTCTTGCCAGGTGCGGAAGTGAGACTGAGAGGCGTGCAGTTGCCCGAGTCTTTGTTTATCCCCTTGTTCCCTTTTCCAGACAATGGAAACTTTATCAGATCACCACAACTTTTCAAATATGATTGAGAGTGGCTTAGCAACTTAATCTACCAGTTCCTTTAAGGTGATCTGATGCATCTCATGGGCTTATGTGCATTCAGTTCCTTGGTTGGTTTTGATCTTCTACAGCGAGCAGTTCTTTGTTTTCCCAGGTCCTGCCTTTGGGTTCTGTGGATATTACAGTAGAGGAGAAGTTCTCTAGAGTCCACTCCCTAATTTTAGAACCAGTACTCAGCAGAAGATTGCATGTCTTATCTTTTTGTCCACTAATAGCATGTATATACAATTTTCAGTTGTTTGTGTGAAAAATAAGTAAAAAAATTAGTGGAGTATCAGTTCTGTTAAGCTCTGGAGTTAAGCTGGAAGACAAAGCAAATAAGGAATTTTTGTTATTTGCCAGAATAATCTGTTTCTACAACAGTACACCTTTCTGTAACAATTAAAACATTATTTCTATGAATTCACTATATAAAAAGACTAATAATTAACTCATACAGTTGTTTGCTGCATTTTTTTTTAAAATTATTTTTCCCACTCAGGTGACAGCCAAAATTCCTGGTACAGCAACTTCAAGACCTATAGATACTGCATTTGGGGTAGGTGTTTGGTTTTTGTTTAACAAAAAATGAGGTATTTACCAAAAAATTACTCACAAATTAAGTTTATCATTTAATCCCAATCTTGGAATGTGCTAACAAGGCTCTTTTGAGTGCAGCTAAATAAAATAATCCCGTCTCAAAGCAGAGCTAGTGGGCTCCAGCCAGAAGTGGATCAGTTGTCCACAGGACCACCATAGAACTGGAAACCTCTGGAGCATCATCCCGTCTATGGTACCGCCTGCTTCACTCTGCAGATTCACTTCTCCTGCACCACAATCCTTGCTGTAAACAGAGAGGGGGAAGAAAGGAAAAAGAAATGATGTATGTGGTGGATAGTGGGTAAAATGGTGTAACATAGGCCTTGTGGGTGGAAGTTAGGGGAATGATTTTTCATGGCTTGAAGCCTTTTGTTTTTGTGTATTTGTTTTGCATGTGTAGCAACCTTTTAGCATTTACTACTATTTCAGATGTTTATTACTTTACACTTTTAGCAGCAATACAGAAGGACAGTATGTGGCATGTCAGCTAATGAAAAAGGCACCCACTGGCAGTTGCAAAGTGTTTCTATCTTTATTGTAAAATGATCTGTGTGAACATACGACTTCAAGCTGCTCACCAGGATTCATAGTGAAGCGCAAAAAAACCTTTCACTGCTTACAGTGAAAGTGATGGTTGGAGGATGTGCGGAGTGTCATAACATAGATAAAGCAGACAAGTTGTAGTTTCTAATCTTGCATCAGCTGTATTCAGAACTTTACTGCAGAATTTTACATAAATTACTTGTGCGAGACTTAAGAATGCGTGAATTGTAATGATTAAATGTCGTTTCAATAATTTAATAATGGAAAGTGCTGCTATCTTGCCTTTATACAGTTTGCATTTTTTAAAGGTTTGGCAGAAATATCCAAATATATAAGAAGAGTATTGTGAATTTGTGCTAACTGAAGCGTTTCACATCTTCAGGTCTGCCAGGCTCAAGTGTATTGCACATGAATAATGTACCTGAATAAGAACTTCTATGAGTTTAGTCATCTCTTAAAACTTAATGTTAGGAAACTCTGTATGCACAGCCTTTATAGGCTTTTAATGCTCTTTGAATGCCAGTTTCAAACAAGTTACTTATTTTTATAGCAAGTTACTTATTTTTATAGTCAAAGACAACTTAAAGTTCATCTATGGAAAGACCAGTGACAGGAGCAGCACAGATGAAAGTTTTAATATTTACATTTTGTGTTGACTCAGAACAGTGGTATTTTTCTGCTAAGTGTTTAGGTTGAATGCAAATATTCTTGTTTCAAATAAGCATTAAATATAAATGATGGCACTATTTAAGGTTCTCCTTTTTTGAAAGCATCTTACGGCAAGTGTAATGCTTTGGATGAGCATGTTATTTGAGCACTGGTTGGAGACAGTGTCACCGTAATTGTTTTTAACTCTTCCTGACATGCAAATGAATATTTTTTTTTTCAAAGTAGGAAGAAAGGTGAATTCTGTTTTTCATTTTTCTTATGCATTTATACTCTAATAAGAAACTACTGCAACATACCAAATATTTTCCACACCATCCTTAAACTTACTGACTTATTGGCAACTCTCTCTTCTATCACTGTTTATTCCCTTGCACCAGCCCTGGTGGGATATAGGACATACCTGGAAGTGTTGGGAATGGGGCTGCTCCCTCAGGGAAGGCAAGCCAAGATCCCAATAGGAAATTGCCTGTTGAGCAGTGCAAGACTATCACCAACCTGGCATCACTCAACAGTATCTGAGCAAACCAAGTAGAGTCCACATAGAAATGGTGCCAATATCCAACCTAAAGTCCAGAAAATCAGGCAGTGCCACGGTGATGAGGCAGGTCAATAAAAAGTTTAAAAATACTCAGTTTACTGATGTGTTAACAATTGATTTTTTTGTGCTTAAATGTTTCTTAGTGTGTAACTGTTGCCTGTGCTGTCCATGATGTGTCTTTTAATATTTCTTCCTTTTTATTTAAGGATGGGGTTTCTCGGCCAATGACAGCAGTGCAAGCTGCAGGCTACACTAAGGCAGCTATCAGAGGTACAGTTTGTAGAAATTGCATGCTATCAGAGGAAGATGTTATTTTACAGTGTTCAGTACTCTGAAATTTTCAGTACTCTTGATTTTGCAGGTTCTTTATTTGATCCTCTTGGCCAAGCAAGAGGTCCTGCTCCACCTCTGGAAATGAAAAATCCAGACAGGTTTGTTCAGTTTTGCTCTGATTTCAAAGCATTAACAGTACAAAGAGCAGCTGACAGCAGAGCTTAGAAACATGCATGCAGTTATGAAACCTTGAGAGGCCAAACTTAACTTTGTGGAATAGAGCCACAAACATTTACCTGCATGGTTACCTGATTCTCTGGAGTAGTTGTACTGCCTTGAAGGAAAGTCTGCTTTCAGAGATTTCTGGTTGCAGCTGTAGCTAGCAGCCTGGATGTGGCTGTTGCCACATGAATGCTGTGATACTAAATAGTATTGCAGAGTATTATAAAAGTGTATCACAGGCAAGGGACACTATGATTCATGCAGTTCAGACAGAGTCTGCTTGCTCTTTCTCCCTAGTCACTATCTGGCCTTAACACTTGAGTTAGAACAGAAGTTGTGAAAGTTTTGCAGTCTGCTGTGAGTGTAGGTGAGCTTTTCATAACCTTTGGATTCTTTAAATGCATTTAGGAGTAGGGAATCCTACTGAAATGTTTGCTTGATTAAATGAAAAGAATAAATACAGACAAATAAGAACTTTAAAGCAAAATCTGTGTATACTTTAAAATTACATATGCAGATGAATTTCAATTAATTGCTTTTAATACAGTATTTTTTTCGCTAGATATTAGATTTGAAAGTTTCACCAGTTCATCTGTTTGTACTGTCATTATTTCAGATCAACAACTCGTGTGTAGGATATTTGCATGTCTGTCCCTTTTTCATAAGAGAATTTATGTTTTCTTAGATCTCTGTGTGTGTGAATGTAATATCTTTGGAGGTTCTTTGGACATAGTTTCACGTTAAGTTATCTGGTGGAAAAACCAGTTAGTGAAGTATTGTTGTCTTGTTTTACTGAGAATATGCTGCCTTAAAGCTTAAGTATTTGCCAATGTATTAGTAATGGTAGTCAATACTTTTCTTGTTGTGTTTATTTTAGCTCAGAAGAGAAGATTAGGCAGTTAGAAAAAAAAGTGAATGAACTGGTTGAAGAAAGTTGCATTGCCAACAGCTGTGGAGACTTGAAATTGGTATTTATTCTGGATTTGTTTTTTCATTTGTTATTATTTGAAACATAAATAATGAGAAGTCTAGTAAAGCAATGAGTGTAAGTAGAGTTAGAGCAGAAGATGAATAAAGTGTCTTTCTGAACTGCTTTATACCATTCAATATTGATCCTGGACCAAAAGGCCTTTTTGTCTGATCAATTCCCATGTTCATTTGAGAAGACTAGAGCTCCAGGTTTTCTGACAGATTGTGAATGGTCTGTGCTTTACTACAGCTCAGGAAAATGACACTCTCTGATGTACACAATGCTTTATTTGTGAATCAACCCATTCCTGAGCTTAGATTTGCATATTTACTGTTACAGATTTGACCCAGGCCATTTTCCAAAAAAGGTTCTAGGTGCAGTTGAAGATTGCTATGGACCTTTTTCCAGGAGGCAGTTTGAGTGCATTTGTCCTGTTGCAGATGCAGCCTGTCTTTACAGTTGTTAGAGGCTAAGTAATAAATAATTTTATTCACATTTATTATGATATATTTAGTGAGTTTAAGCAATTTGGGCAAGTTAACATTTTTAATAACTGGTGTACTTTTGTCTGACACAAAGGAATGTTTTCTATCCACAATCTAATTCACACCATTTTGAATCACTCTTTAGATGTTGTCAAGGTAGATGATCATTTACCTCAGCTGTCTGAATGCGTGGGTTGTCTTAGCTACAGTTTGGACCTGCTAAGAAACACACAGCCCTGCTCTTTGTTTAGAATCATAGGATAACTGAGGCTTGCAGGGACCTCTGGAAGGTCACCTGGTCCAACTTGTGCTCAAACAGGGACACGCAGAGCAGAGTGCCCAGGGCTGTGTCGGGGCAGCTTTCGAAGATCTCTGAGGTGGAGACTCCACTGCCTCTGGGCAGCTGGTGCTGGTGCTCCATCACTCACACAGCACAGAAGTGCTTCCTGGTATTCAGGGGGAGCCTTCTGTGTTCCAGTTTGTGCCTCTTGTCTGGGCACTGGGCACTACTCAGCTGCAGAGCCTCCATCCTTTTGGCATCTTCTCTTCAGGTATTTATGGACATTGATGGGATCCTCCCCTGAGCCTCCTGCAGACTGAACAGTCCCAGTTCTCTTAGCATCTCCTTACAGAGAGATGCTTCAGTTCCTTAATCATTTTTGTCACCCTGAATTTATATGCGGTTTCTATGATTCATACAAGTAGAATAACATTTCTATGCTTGTGATTATGGTGCCTATTTTGTATATGTGGGTATATATACACATACTGTGTAACTACTGTAAAAGTATTGCAACTAAGCTGACCTAGATAACTGTATGTCTGCTTATTGCTAACTAACACATTTCTGTGGGTCGCAGTGCTACTTTTCAAGCATTGTGTACACTTGTGTGCCTAAAGAAAAGAGACACGAGTATATTATTTTCATACTTGTTTTGGATGTATTTTTGTGGTCTTCTGTTAGTAAGATTTGAGGCATCACTAAATTTCAGTTTTTAATTTAAGGCTCTGGAAAAAGCAAAAGAAGCTGGAAGGAAGGAAAGAGTATTAGTGAGGCAACGTGAACAAACTGCTACTTCAGAAAGCATCAACTTAGATCTCACTTACTCAGTAAGTACTTAGAATTCTTCAATGACTAAAGTGTGCTGGTAGCTAATGGCGTTTCATTATTGCTATGTGCATGCTGTAATTGTAGAATCACCTAAGGTGGAAAAGGCCTTCAAGATAATGAAGTCCAACTATCAACCTGACCTACGGAGTCCTAATGCTAAACCATGTCCTGTGGTGCTCCATCCACACATTCTTAAATACCTCCAGAGATGAGGAATCCATCACATAGTCAGTATAAGTTGAAGGACACCCAGGGACGTTCCAGCTGCTCATCACATTAAAAAAGCTCATATCAAAATACAGTAAATGTAAGCTCCATACTTCCAAAATGAGTATGTAGGCAATGTAATGTGTGAATACAAAGGAGAAGAAAACAGGAGAATCAAGCATGGCCCTTATCTTGAACCATCAGGGAACATATTATAACAAAAAATATATTGGTATCTTGACTTGCTGTAGAGAAAGTGGTAAATGTAACAAGTTAGGCAGATTCAGTTGCTTATTTCACAGAGAAATTTCCAGTAAAGCTGAGATAAATATTGGGGATGTTTTACTTGACTCCAACTGAACTTCTTTTTTTGAAATAGCAGTTCAAAAAATTCTCTTCATAAACTGTGAAGGACCATTTTCCACACGTTGGGAGTCATAAATTACACCGTTTCTGAGTATTATCTTAAAGAACAAAGGAGCATTAAAGATGGGAAAGTTAAAACTGGCAAAAGCATATTTCTTAGGTAGAATTTATCTGAAAGTATCTACTATGAGTTCAAATTTATTACAGTTGATATAAGAACATTCTTTTCCCATACCTATAATTTTTTTTTTGGTCTAGGTTCTTTTCAATCTGGCCAGTCAATATGCTGCTAATGAAATGTATGCTGAAGCACTAAACACTTACCAAGTTATAGTGAAGAATAAGATGTTCAACAATGGAGGTAGGTTATGTACCAAAATGAATAAAAATTGGTACTCATGCATTCAAAATCAGGACCTCATCTGTATGTGTTGGCTCAAAGAGACCTCAGCTCTCTCATCTGCCAGGATGAGTGATGGATGCTCATACTGTTTGGCTTGGTATAATTTAGTGTGGTTAACACTCTTTCAGCTCATGCAGTCTTTTCTTTTCATAACAGAGCACAGAGTCAAATACACCATTTTGCTCATGGAACATAATATGTTGTCTACTCTGATATTCATTTTTTTGCTTTTGATTCAGCTTGCTCTTTTTGAAATCTTCCTTCAACGTTTTGGGCGTCTTTGAGACTCGTGCAGATTCCACCACCTCTTTCTCTGAGGTGCTTGTTTACAGCTGCCTTCCTGGAGCACACCATCACAAATGTCTAGTCCATCCCTCAGCTCACAATCAAAAATGAGAAACGTGTCTTACATTGATAGTCTTTTTTTTTAGGTTTTGCTATTATTTTATCTCCTTCTTGGTCAGTTACCTGGAGGCTTTTCCTTGCTGTGCTCCTTTAAAGGATGACTGTAACGAAGACTGATTTTAGTAAAAAAGTTCTAATCTCCCTTTCAACTAGTTTAAAAGTTTAAAAGTTGCTGTAACTATGCTTTAAAAGATTGTAGCTCATGGACTTCTTGTGACAGGTAGACTGAAGGTCAATATGGGAAATATATATTTAAAACAGCGGAACTATTCCAAAGCGATCAAATTCTACCGCATGGCTCTAGACCAGATTCCTAGTGTCCACAAAGACATGAGGTGAGCTTGTACTGTTCAGCACAGTTCTGAAATGAAAGTTTGGAGTACAGCAGGATAGTTAATGAAAGTGTAACCTAGCTCTGATTTCTTTGCTTAGGATTAAAATAATGCAAAATATTGGAGTTGCATTTATTAAAACTGGCCAGTACATGGATGCCGTTTCTTCATTTGAGCACATAATGAGCTTGTCCCCAAACCTGAAGGCAGGCTTCAACCTGCTCGTATGTTACTTTGCTATTGGAGACAGCGAACAAATGAAAAAAGCATTCCAAAAACTGATTGCAGTTCCCTTGGAAGTGGATTATGATGACAAATACGTTTCACCAAATGTAAGTTTGAACTAAATAAATGCTGTATTTATATAATAAATCAGGAGGAAGAGGGAGAGATGTTAAATGCTTTGACTATACAAATATGTAAGCTGATGTGTATGTGCATATCTAAAGTAACATTTTTTTACTGGGATGAATTTAACATGGCAGCACCACTCAGAAATGTAAAAGATGTTGAGGATGTTTGAATATTTTTTTCCTCAAAAGATACAGTCTACATAAAATCTCTTGAAAGGTTTTGTTGAAATTCATCAGGGCTGATTTTTAGGCTCACTCATTTCTTTGCATCCTTTATTTATTTAACGTTTTGCTGAATCGTAAGTTGAAACAAGAGGAACAAATAAATGAGCTAGTGCCACTTATATGAATGCTAATAAAACTGTAATACAGTTGTCTTTTTAACATAGAGAAGGTTTAAGTGAAGTGTAGAGATAGTTATTTTAGATAGCATAGAATTGTAACTGAACTTTGTTTTTAGCATGAAACCAGCTGTTCATGATATAAAGAAAGGAAAAATAATGAATAGGTTTAGGGTCTTTTTAAAGGAATTGCCTACGGAAAGATTAAGACAAACACTTTATATTCCCTTAGCAATCCCTTTTTTAAATTCACACAGCTTCTTTTTCAATCCTGAAGATCAAAGATCTTTGCAACTCAACTATGGTTGTTGCTTTGTAGCACCTAGCATTGGCAAATAACATTTACTATGTGAAACACTACGTTTTATATTTTATAATAGTAATTATTATAGATACATGATTGTATTATATATTATTATATGTTTGATTATATTATTATTGATATACATATAGATACAATTTCTTAAGTTTTTTTTACATGTATATTTTTTATTATATAGTTGATATGATTTCTGTATGGGAATTATGTAGCAATAGGGATCACTGAACACTTGCAGAGTCAATTCAAGGCTATGTAACATCACTGATTGGAAGAAGAGCTCTGGATTCTGGATGCTCTTTGTAAGGATAGGTTAGTACAGTTTTAACGGTCATTCCAAGTTTGCTGTTTTGCTATGAAGTAGTCAGAGGAAAAATGATCAAGTTTTGTTCTGTTCTTCATTTTGTTTGCATCTGTGATCCACCTCTAGCAAATCAGCAAGGAATGGCTAGCACCTCACCTCTGTGTGTTTCTGTCAGAACTGGTAGGAATGTACGTATGTGAGGGAAACTGCAAGACAGTTGTGTGAGCTGTTGTAATGACGAGGTGCTGCAGTTCCTCCATCTGCTGCACAGCACTGCCTTTCAGCAAGTGCTGAAGCACACTCTTATTTTCAGATATGTGAGAGTTCTCACTGGTATGCGGATGCAGGCTTCTCAGTCAGCCTTGCCAGTCTGATGCATGGGAGGCTGACTGCACCTATCAGCAGCCACAGTGTGAGCCATGAGCCTCGTGCCTGAGCGCTGAGACGGGATGAAAGTAGCTGTGGTGTCAAACTTGAGGTTTCATAGTTAGAGTTATGAATGCTTTAAATTGAGTTCAGCTTTTGAAATGTGGAAAGTGAGTAACACCGTAGATGCTGTAATCTGCATCTATGTATGTTTACAGTCAAGTGAAGATGCATGTGTACTGGCATAACTATTTACAGGTCTTTTGTCTCCTTCCAGGATGATCCACATACAAATCTACTGCTTGAAGCCATCAAAAACGACAGTTTAAGACAAATAGAACGTGAGAGGTAATAGTGGAGTCTGTTCCTTCTTGACTGTGATGCTGTAGGTTTTTGTTCCTGAAAGTATTAAAAATGAGCCTTCTCCCTCATGTGGTGGGTTGTGCTGCTTAAAACTTGCAGCTTCAGGTTGTTGTTTTGTTGTTTGTTTGTATGATGAAACTACCGTGTGCAGGGCAAGGAAAACATTAAAAAGTGAGAGCACTGTCAAGATACAAGGCAGCAGTAGTAGCAGCAGGTTAGATTGAATTGTCAGATTGTCTCCCGAGTGCAGGAAAGGGCAAGAGCAAGGTTTGGTTATTTCTTGCATACCTGATTTTGAAATTGTGACGTGTTTGTGTGTTGGTTTTACAGTTGCTTAGTGTTTGTTTGTTTTACCTTAGGAAGTCCATGGCTGAGGATTATATCATGGCAGCTGCTAAACTGATAGCACCAGTCACTGAGCCATCTTTTGCTGCGGGCTATGACTGGTAAGAGTTCAGCACGGCTTCTTTCTGTCTAACCTGCATGCCAGTCTGGGGTTGGTAATGGACGTGAGGGCTCTGGAGAGTGCAGTTTGCTGCACATCACAAGGGTAGGGTGCAGGCTGTATTCAGTTGGACTCTGTAATGCACTGGAGAAAAAAACAGAGCATATTCTGTGTTTAAAAAAGAATTGTGTTGCATCAGTGAAAGTCGGCGATGAAAAATGTTCTAATCTGCTGGCTGTGAGCACAAGGGAAGCTTTGTCCAATGGAGCTGAGTTTGAAAATTGCAGAGCCTGCTAAAAGTCTCAGCAGACATGATGTCCATGTACACACAGAGCACAATGGCAGTGGGTCTTTAAGTTAGAAGGTAACGTAATGAAGGCTTGTCATTGTATGGAACACAGGTATCGACACGTTAGGAACGTTTATTTGCCTTTCATTTGTAACTGTAATATTTCTGTGTGTGTACGTGTGAAATAACATCTCCTTGGATTTACAGCTTAACTTTTGCTTTCTGGTGTGTTTGTTACATCAGAGTTCTATTTTCTTGAAAGGAAAACTAAAAACAGACAATTTCAATTAGGACAGCATAAAAATTCTTAGTAGCAGTGATGTCTCCAGCCCCTGTTACTCTGTGAAATAAGTTTGATGGGAAAAGGAAACTTTCCTTGCTTTGCCCTTTGTTGGCCAATTAGGAGTATTTACAAACACTGAAGGGCCTATAATTCTAGTTCATTAACTCAGTAACTTACACTAAAATGAAATGATGAAATAATCTCTCCCATTGAAGACATGCTTTGTCTGCCAGAGCCCACAAGGTGGTGTCTGATGGTTTAATATCATATAATGCAGTCATTTTCCTGCTTCTGCCTTTGGACTTACCAGAGCAGTGTGTATTGTGAACATTATTGTGTTGCTTTGCAACCTAGCACATGCTTAGGAAGGCCGATTTATTTGCTCTGTAGCTTGTTTGTTTGTTTGTTTGTTTGTTTTCTCCTTCAAGGAATCTTAAGACAGTTTGTTTATTTCAGTTTGTCAGGTGCTCAGTTTCCTTCATGCACTCCACAAAATGCTTTCCATTAAGTAGAGTGTTGTCTTTCATACCTGTTCTGGCTAAGTAAAGAACTCTGCAGTGAGATGTGTGGAATTGTTGGGTGGGTGTCAGGACAGATTCTCTTCCCCCTTCGAGGCTGAGGTATTGAAGTAAAAAAAGGAATAGCTAAGAACCCCTTTGGGAACAGGAACTGGCAGCAAGAGTTTACCTTGGAGTGGCTTTTGCCAGGATACATTTTGTGCATCAGATTTCTTTCTGTTGCAGGTGTGTTGAAGCAGTAAAAGCTTCCCACTACGTAGAGTTAGCCAATGACCTGGAGATAAATAAAGCCACTACTTTTCTGAGACAACGGGATTTTAACCAGGTATAGTAACTTTTCCCATCCTTTCTTTTTCATATGGTATTGTCAGAGACATCTTATGTGGCCGCAGCACATTTTTCAGCAACAGTAGGAGCAATTTAGGCAAGCCCCATGATTGTATTGATGCTGCTCGTGAAGGTAACGTAGTACTGGAGAGAGAACAGTTAATCTCAGTGAAATGTCTACTGTAGAAGTTGCAATGAATGCAGTTCACTTCAAAATTAAGACACCTGAACTCTTTGTCAGGACTTTCCTGGCTGTCCGAGTTGTGAGTACAATTAATGCAGATGGAGTCAGAGCAGTACTGGAGCCCTGAGGGCAGTTTCTGCTGGTGAATTTTATGCTGATCTGATCTCATGGCACAAACTGTTACCAGTCTCTTGTTCATATGTACAGTGTAATTTTAGCTACAGCTTTCCTTTACCATGCATGTAAATTGCCACTGAAGGTGTGTATAGGTTTATAGCACAGCTTCCAAGGTTCCAGCTTTTGTTATTGTCTCATGGCATCTTTTCGTAGGAAGTTTTAAGTCAAATGCACTTCTTGCTTTTAATCAGTTTTCTCACAGATCAGGACAAGGGATAAGAGCACGTTTTCATCATCTCTTTGCCTATGAAAGAGGTTCCTTTTGAAGTGATAGCAGTTAGCAAACACCTTCATCTGAACAACAGAACTCAGATCGGATTTGCTCAATTTCCTTCTCCCATGCTTTGTGGGTTGTTTTTCCTAGTTAGTGACAGGAATCAGTGCTAAAGGAGAACATAGCAGTCCAAGTTAGCATGAGTGGCAGGGAATATGAGAGACGATACAGAGCAAAATTCGAGCTGAATCTCACTACCTCTGTCATGGTCTAAGATCTTTCAGCTTCCCATCACCTGGAAGGATGCGTGCGAGGCCATGTGCTTAAGTTCACCTTTTTTCTGTGTATTTGAGCTCTTCTGCTTTCTGGAGTCTTTCCTCTCCTCCCTGTCTCCTCCCCTGCACGTTTGTTTCTCTGTGCTCAGTGTGTGCTTTCTCAATGCTGTGGTGTTTGCTTCAGTGGGAATTTAGCAGTTTCTGAATTGCTTCTAGGCACTGGAGACTTTCAAAATGTTTGAGAGAAAGGACAGCAGAGTAAAGAGTGCAGCTGCAACAAACCTTTCGTTCCTTTATTATTTGGTAAGTGTGTGCTTCAACAGTGAGGAACCAAACCTGATGCAGCGATGTCTGTGTCTTTGTAGCAATTTCTGTGTTGATTTGAACCTGCACAAATAGCAGGAAACGGCATGTTAAAAGAGCCCTACTGGAACACATTCCTGTGGCTATAGTTTGGGGCATGTCCTCTGTCTGCTCTGCTGGGTGGAACGGTGAGGTTGATGTCCAGGCCACAGAAGTAGACCTCAAGTATGATCTGTGCTGAAGTTCACCTCCTGCATTAAAGCCTGTCTCCCGAAGCCCCTGTCTCAACTTCAGGGACGTGTGCAGTATGTAGGTTAGTCAGATATGTTTGTGTGTGGTATTTGTAGGGCTTGAGGGATTGTTGTCTCTTGTTTTTAAACAAGCATTCACTGTTGCAGCAGTGAAAACTTCCAGACTGAATGGAAGGGAATGGCAGGGCAGGTCTCAAGTGCTAATTTCTCTGACATTTTAAAGAGATTATTGAAATACATAAGGAATATTTTCAGCTTGAAGAATCTGTAATTTTTGTCATCCTTAATCTTTTGAAATTCTACTCGTGGTACCCATGAGAAGCCAGAAGTGCAGGAGAACTAACTGAGAAATGACTAATACAGTGTTGGTTTTGTTCATTTAGGAGAAGGAATTGGCACAAGCAACAACCTATGCAGATTTAGCTGTCAGTTCTGATAGGTACAACCCAGCAGCACTAACTAACAAAGGAAATACTGTTTTTGCAAATGAAGACTACGAAAAAGCAGCTGAGTTTTATAAAGAGGCTCTTAGGAATGATTGCTCTTGCACTGAAGCACTGTATAACCTTGGTAAGCCAAACATGCTTTTGTGATTGAGTTTTTGTCTAAAGGTAATGCTAGTGTTTCTGAGAATCTGGCTTTTACTCTTTCCTTGTGTATGTATGTATGGTAATTGTTAGGACTTTATTCAGTAATTTATGTTGTAGTAGTCTATGATCTTCCTGTCTCTTCTACAAAAAATAAACCATGAACTCATCATAAAATAAAAAATAAATCATGAACTCAATTACCAGTTGGTGATGGTAAGTCACTTTGTATATCAAAATGGACGTAGATATTGCTATCTACCAAACCCTGCTCATTTTAGCAGCATTAAACCATTGCCAGCATTGTGCTCCTGGGAGCCATTCCTTTTCCTCATTCATCTTGCTCAAAAAGTGAGATGAGTTGTGTTCTTGGTCTTTGCTCATCTTGGTGTTCCTTGCCTTTATCACCTAATGTTTTAACAGCAGAAAGCATTAAAGAACTGTAAGGGTGATTTAAGTAATAGAGATCACTGGTGTCAAGGCAGTTACAGCGCTGTTGGCTTTCATGTCCCTACTTATTTTTCCTGGTTCTTCTCTTAATTAATGAGCTGAATCCATCTTTTTCCCATTGCGCTTACGTTGTCACCTTTTTTATTTTTATTTGTTAGGTTTAACATACAAGAAGTTAAACAGAATAGATGGGGCTTTGGATTGTTTCCTGAAACTCCATGCAATACTTGGAAACAGTGCTCAGGTCCTTCACCAAATAGCAGCCATGTATCCTTTTCTGTGTTATGATGAGGGATGATGCCTTTGGTGAACTCATTTCAGCTGAAATACGTGTTTAAGCCATGTCAGGAAGACTAAGAAATTTACTGTGGCGTCCACTATGATGAGGATGATTGTCCCTAGATTGATTCTCTGATATTTATAAAAACAAGGCCGGAACTTAAACCTTCTGTGACATTTCCAGTGAAGCAAGTGGAGAAATATGTTAATGCTGCTCCTGCTGCATTAATCAGCGTGTGTATCAGGGAATAGCTCAGCACTGACGGTCAGTATTAAAGTATGTCCTGGAGTATTCAAAATGCAGCTGATTTTATTCTGATAATAATGTCAGACCTGTAAGCACAGTTGGATAAAGCCTTAATGAAAAAAATAATAGGTGTAATGAAAGTGCTGTTCTGTTGGGAAGCTATGCTGAAGCTAGTGGTTCATGTAAGAAAGGAGTTGTCTCCCAGCTCTGCAAAAGCAGAAACATATTGGAAAGCCAAGCATAGGGTGGGTTATGTTTTGGCTTCACACATCACCAGGGGTATGCTGTAGTTGAACATTGTTTAACAGTGTTTCTGAGAATGTGCAAACCCTAATAAAACTGTCCCTAAAGCAGAACAGATTCCAATTGCTGCACTGCAGTTTTAAGAATGAAAGTAAGAGATGAGACAGTCAGCAACCTCCAAAAATGCCAGAGGATTATGGTTTGTATTTCTTGCCTAGCTCATGTACAAAAGCATACACTACAATTGGATCAGATGGAGAATTTCTGTGCTCCACAGATATGTGAGATAGTTTTCCAACAGTGATTGCAGGCTTCTTCCATGAGAGACAGGGTTCAGCAGAAACTTTAACATTGTGTTTGGAAGTAGCTGTAGCTCAGACTACTGCAGGTGGGAACTGCTGTGTGGCTGAGGAGGGGAGAGCGTGCTGTAGGCCTCGTGAAAATCAAAGCTGCTTCTGTACTCTGGGCTAGAATTCAACATTTCCTATGCTGTCCTTCTTAGCCATACAGCAGAAGGTTTCTTGGTAGGCAAAAGTCTGTTCTTAAGGATAGCACTTTTGCTTTATCAATTACTTAAGGATAAAATGATGTATTACAAAATAGAAACTCAAGTGTCAAGGTTAGAAGTAGATGATAGAAATGGTTCTCACACTTGACTCTTATTAAAATATAAGTGAAATTATTGGCTGACATAAAAGCTACAACTAAGCCCAATTTTTTTTTTTTTTTTTTTTTTTTAAGGTGAAAGAGCAGCTGAAGCCTCTGATCTATTTTTCTTATTTTTGGCCGAAGATTCTTGCTGATGATAAAGAAAATATCATAGAATCATATAATGGCTTAGGTTGGAGGGGGCCTTACAGATCATCCAGTTCCAACCCCCCTGCTGTGGGCAGGGTTGGCAGCCAGTAGGTCAGGCTGCCCAGGGCCCCATCCAACCTGGTCTTGAATGCCTCCAGAGGTGGAACATCCACAAACGAATGTCTAACGTAAATCTCCCTTCTTGTAGTTGATAGTCATTCCCCCTTGTCCTGTCACTGTCAGAAAGTGTGAAAAATCAGACCCTCTCTTGCTTGTAATCTCCCTTCCATTACTGGAAAGCTGCAACGAGATCAGTGCGGAGCCTTCTCCAAGCTAAATGAGGCCAGCTTTGTCAGCCTGTCTTCACAGGAGAGGTGCTCCAGCCCTTGGATCATCTTTGAGGCCCTCCTCTGAAGCCACTTCAGCTGCTCCCTTCTGCTGGGGGCCCCAGAGCTGGGCGCAGTGCTCCTGGTGGGGCCTCGCAAGGGCAGTGCAGAAGGGGATAATCCCCTCCTGCTGCCCGCTCTCTTCTCATGTAGCCCAAGTTGCTGTTGGCCTTTTGGGCTGTGTGCTCCCATGAGCTGCTGGCTCATGCCCAGCTTTTCATCCGTCAGCACTCCTAAAGTCCTTCTCCACAGGGCTGCTCTCAAGGAGTTATTCTCCCAGCCTGTATACGTATCTGGCATTGCCTTGACCCAAGTGCAGCACCTTGCACTTGGCCTTGTTAAACCTCCTTAGATTCTTGTGCACCCACTTTTCATGCATGTCCAGGTCCCTCTGGATGACTTCCCTTCCTGGTATTGTGTCCACTGCACTGCTCAGCTCGGTGTCATGGTAAAGAAATGATTAAAAGTCTGTGTTTAAAACAGACAAAAAAAAACCCTCTATCAGTATGCATCCACACTACAGTGACTAGTATATTTATCTAGTATATGGATTATATAATATATATTAGTTGGAAATCTGAGTAAATTAAAAAATCATCACTGCTGTTCCTTATGCTCCTAATGCTGTTCCTTAACTGAAGAAAACTCAGCTATGAAATCATGGAAGATCCCAATCAAGCCATAGAGTGGCTCATGCAGTTGATCAGTGTAGTACCAAGTGACCCACGTGCGCTTTCAAAACTAGGGAAATTATATGACAAGGAAGGTGATAAATCCCAAGCCTATCATTATTACTATGAGGTATTTGCTTTCTGTTACTTTCTCCTAATTGAAGAAAATAGTGCTGTAGTTTTCTGTGTCAAGTTAACGACTGATTGATTTAAACTGTTCAAAATGTCATCCAAAAGAAGAAGGAATGGCCTTTGTCAGGTGGGGGTTGCAGGTAGTTGACAAAATGTAATTGTTGTAGTCGGGTCCCAAGGAAGCGCTTAGTCTGTGTTTCCTCCTGGCATACGACCTCCAACTTTTCTTTCCCAAGTGGTCATTGTTTACACTGGGCCCTAACAGTTTCCATTTAAAACTCACTCTGACACTGAAGATTAAAAGTGGATACAATCAATGTGATTTTAAAGGTGCTTAACTTGACAGCATGAGTTGGAAGGTGCACCTGTGTGATGGATATGGAGATCAATCTATGTGTCTGTGTTTGATTGCTAGGCATTGAGTATGCACAGTTGCCTCACATGAGACACCCTCTCTCCTTTCAAGCCGGCTGTGATTTCTAGAGATGCTTTGGTTTCTGAAATGGGAATAAGGCAAGAAGCCATTTTGTAGTCCAGCAGTTCTTTTTGTGTCCATGTAAAGTGAGGATGAGCAGCGTTGCAATTCTGAGTGCTGGTGGAGTTGTACATAGTTATAATTTTGGTGCCTGTTTCAGTGGAGATTTCTAAGAATCTGCTTTACACACATATGCATTTCTTGGAACAGTATGCTTGTAGGTGAGTTTTCTATCAGAATGATTTGAGTGTGAAATTGTATTAGGTAGCATTGTTTACCAGTGTAGGTAATGTGTTCACAGATAGACCTGATCTAAGTACACATCGTAGCTGTTGCAGGCTGTATAAGTAGTACTTCAAATCAGGTTGGATGGAAAATGTGACAGACTTATCTCAGGTAACTTCTAAAATACATTCTGTAATTAGAAAACGCGGCATACTGGTTTTTTTTCCCTCCTCCTCAGGATTGCTGAGCGTAGTACACTGCTTCCATTCACATAGAATGTATTTTTGGCAGCTGGGGAATGAAACACTTGAGTCAGATATTGCAGAAGTGACATACAGATGTTGTTTATCACTACAGTTGTGTTTCTTTCACCTCTTCCATTTTGTCAGTCATACCGTTATTTCCCTTCAAACATTGAGGTCATTGAATGGCTTGGAGCCTATTGCATTGACACCCAGTTTTGTGAAAAAGCCATTGAGTACTTTGAGAGAGCAGCTCTTATCCTGTGAGTAATTCTTATTTTATGTCTATTTAAAAATTCTGTGATTAGACATCCATGATTGAACTCAGAGATAACTTTAGTATTGTAAGCAAGTACCAGAGCAAACTATTTTGGAACATCATGTAAATTTCCCCAAATTTCTGTTTGTGGTGTTTTTGTTTTTTTCTGTGTTATTTCAGTGTTAAGAAAGGGCCCGAGATGGTGTTAGCTATTAGAACCTTTTTTCTCTATCCTCTGTCATTAAACACAGCGATGCGATAGGGAACACTTGTACTAAGTCACCAAGGCTTCCTTCCCTGTGGCTTTCTGTGAACTGTTCCCTTTCTGTTTATCAGGCAGTGGGGAATTGACAGTTTAGATGAATGTACATCTAAATGTTCTTGCTGCATTTTCCCTTTTCATCTAAGTTCGACTCCCATCAGAAGAATGGTATTACAAATAAGGTGCATGAGTAAGAAGTGTGCAATGCAGAACTAGCAGTGGGTAGCAGATGTGAGTTGGCAAATCAAATTGATCGCGATACAGATACTTGAAGTTACTGAAATGCTCCTTTAGCAGCATATGATGTACTTAAGAACGTGGGCCTGTAGGCTGTGCGTTGTGTTCTAAGTCAGAAAAGTGAGATTGTGAGACAGACGCATTGCTCCTAAGTGAGAAATCACATTAACTTATTCTAAATAATCAAATTAAGACTGTGCTCCTGATTTCAATGTCAGTCTGACTCACAGCTTGGAGAAATGGCATCGATAGTATGCAGATCCTCAGATGCAGCCTGCTTTCTTCCATTCTGCTTGAGGCTCCTTCTTTCCTCATGAAAATGTTTTCAAACTCTTATTTTTGTAGGAAGCTGTTCATACAATTCTATTGTCAATCCAGCTTTTCATTTAAAGTAATTCAACTCGACTGTGTGTAGGGAAGGATATAAAAATGTGCAGTTATAGGTACAGTAAAATACTAAAGCCAGGTCAACCAGTTGGTGCAGCAAACAAATGTGTGCAAATGGCAAAGGTAACATGAAGAGCAATCAGTGCTGCAGTAGACGATACTTGTAAGGCATTGTGTCCCCTGGAAGTGATGCAAAAAGCTTAGTCAGAGGACAGGAGCTTAGTCAAAATACAGGACCTTACAAAGTGGTTTTGAATAACTGACATATGAAATTCTACATGGTTATCTACAATTATCATCTGTCTTTCATACAGAAATGGTTTCTCTGTGGGATTTTGCCATTATTAGTAAAGAATATAGCACAGATACTTGGGTGGTTATTTGTTATTGAAATCATCTAAGTGTGTTAATTGATAAATATGAAAGTCAGGATATAAATTGCTGAATAAGTATTGTTTTTGATTGGAAATAAAATTACATCTAGTAACCTGAGCCCTGAACAGGAGAAGATGACACACAAATATACTGTGTGTGAACTGAGCAGGTGAGCTGCTTCCTAGGAAGAGTCTCTACTAGGGTGGAATGTTTCAGAGGAGTTGAATAGTAGGTTTTTACAAATGCTGTGCAGAATATGTTGCCTATTTATTGTGTGCTTACAGTGTGCACAACTTTGTCTTCTTGATGTGCAGACCTACCCAAGTGAAGTGGCAGCTGATGGTTGCCAGTTGCTATCGGAGAAGCGGTAAGTTCAGGAACATTTTCTGCAGTGAGTTGAGAAATTTTGTTTTGATTGATGTTTTGATGTTGTTTTTCCTTCTGATCTTTTCTGTCTCCTGTGAGTTGTGGTGCTAAATTTTGTTTAAAATGTCAGTTACGTATTATTTTGTTGTAAACTTTCTGTGTGTGTGCAATAAAGCAGGACTTCTCTTTCAAGTGTGAGAAGTATGCCTGTACTGACTTAGGCAGGAAACGTTCCTTGTGCTCTTAAGTACTTAAAATAAGGATATAACAGCATGAATTACTTGCTCAGAGCGCTTTAATTGTCGTACCGTCAGATCTAACGTAGTCATTAGATTTTGAAGTTGCTTAATTCCCATTCGTTTTCAACAAGAGATGTAATTTTTGAGGTGTTTCAGTACTACATGTGTTGCACAAACAGTCTTACTGTGCAGTTTCTTACTGGGAATATTACGTGTCCATAAGCAAAACGGAAAGTGCCTCATCTATCGAGGTTCTTTCATCACATCATCTTGACTCGCCTTTTGAGCTGTCCCATTTGGTCACTCTGCCTTCTGCTTTTTTAGAACTCTGCAGCACTGGATCTCTGAAGAAATTAGGGATTTTTGCTGGTTATTGAACTCAGCAGTGGAAAAAGGAACAGGCCCTGGGAAAGGCAGTGAATTAATAGCAGTCAGTGCCACTGAAGGAGAGGCAGATTAACTGCTTTCCCAGCAAAGAAATCCTGGCTGTTTATTTACCTCATTCATGAGTCACTGACAAAATTTCCAGCTTATCATGTTTAACACAGAGCAGATTCAGTTGTTCTCTGTCTCATGTCGGGAAAATAAAAACAGTGAGATGTGAACAAACTTTTTGGTCAGTTATATCATGGAGCTGAATTTTTAGATTCACAAGCTCTGTCAGTCCTTTGCATGCTAATCAAGCTGAACCAAATGAAAGGCTAATTACTTTGTTATTAGATTGGCCAAAACCACTTTTGGAGCAAAAGAGAAGGGGAGAGACATAAGCAAGTATTCTGATTGAAAGAAACACAGCAGAGCTCAGCAATTACACCTTTCTATTTGAGCAGTCCATCTATGTGCAACCTTGGATAAGCACTAGATGTGTTATCTATCCTATGTAGGTAAGGATGTATCACATGTACAGGATGCACCTAATGTATCACAGGACAGCAGGGTTCTAGCAGGCAGAAAAAGGGCAAAAATCAGGAAACTGTTTTGCACAGAATAATCTGGACACTTTTCAGATGCTTTCAATTTTTGCTGTTGAGTAGCATTTAATGATTATGAAGCTTGGTTTCCTCAAATTTGGTCTTGTAATATTAAATCATGTATTAAAATGAAAAGAAGAAGTGGTGTCGATCTGTATATATTCCTGTTCAGATATTCCTTTTTTTTCTTTTTTCTTGTTTTTTGAATATGTGGTAACGTTGGTAGGAGACGTCTGTTTTGTTTGCAGGTAACTACCAGAAAGCTCTAGAGAAATACAAAGTCATTCACCAAAAATTCCCAGAGAACGTTGAATGTAAGTTGTTTCATTGAGTGGTACAACCATCAAAGAAACCTTGTTACCTTAAATCTGTTTGTTGGTGGTCCATAGGATGTAAGTAATTTTCGTGCCCAGATATTGCTTTGAACTAACATTTTTGTTCCAGCTTATGCCCCCGTATTCGGTTATTGTTTGTGACAGCACAGAGATGTGATTTAAGAAGTACTGGGGTTCTGCTGAAGAAGAAATATGGAAATGAGCTGACTGTAGCTGACTGGCTGAGCTCACTTTCTTGCTTACTTGCTGCATTTTATAATTACGTTAATTGTTTTATCATGAGGTTAAAAACTTTTTACTTCTGGTCCCCACCAGCTGGAACTCCTGCTGTAAATTTCCAGATACAAAAAAAAAAAGGTGCAGTAAAATTTTAACCAAAGCCCGTCCTTCCAAAAGGAGGTTGAGAGCTCCTAAGTGCAGTAGGCCAAATAGTCTCTCGGAAATCCTTAGAGAATTGCATAGTGCGCTACAGGAAACCGCTTGGGCGAGAAAGATGTTTTACAGAACTGTCACACCTGTAGTCTAAATGATGAAGTCCTGGAGCACACAGGGCCTGTGACTGGTAGCCGTGACGTCCTCCTACATCTCACACTGCTGTACTAATTGCAAACGACGAGGTTGTCCCCAACAAGCCTACGCTTTGACATTGAAACGGGAAGAGCTTTCACTGTATTTTAGAACAAAATTGTATCATTCTGCTTTAACAAATGTGCTTCTAAGAGGAAGCATGCAGTTCTGTTGTACAAGATCAATTCCGTAGTAGGGCTTCCCCAGGTTGTAGGCAAAATGTCACGTTCTCGTTAGTCACTTGGAGTATGTGAGAAACTTTTAGAAATGACACTATTTTTCTGAATGGTGTTTCAACAAGTTAGAAAATTGAGGCAGCAGTTGGACAAGAAATTTAGCTGATGTGAGAGTTTTCTACTGCTGAAATAATGGTTCTTCACTCTTCCCTTTCCGGCCGTGTGCTCCCAGCTTTCTTCCTTATGCTGTTCTGATACTGACCTGATCCCTCAGTGAACAATTGCAGCTCCCTTAAAGCAGCAGAAAAAACTAACCTACTGCAAAAATAATAATTAAAGAGTGTAATTAAAAAGTGAAAGAAGTTGAGAGAAGTGGCTTGTGTCGTGCTTGTCAACATCCTTCTGAGGCAGAAATAAACACATAGGAATAGCATCGATGTTTTAAGAGTCTGGTCCAGCATCTCCAATGACTGATTTTAGGGATCCTTTTGTTTCCATTGTGCAGTTCTATTTGCTCTTTGAGTTTTTTATTCTATAGAGTTGATATTTGGAAAATGGACTAGAGCAACAAAAGAGCCCAAAAAGCAGCAAACCATTCTGATTCACTTGGCACGTATAAAATTATTGTTAAGAAAATAAGATAGTGGCTTCTCAGTAATAAGTTAGTACCATTATACTTTCCAGTTTCCAAAATGTTCGTCAAGCATTCTGAGCTAAAGGAATTGAACATGTTTTGCATCCTCAGCTTGCATAGATGACATTAGCACTGTTTGTGGGTATAGCCACTGCATCACAGAAAGTGTTGCATTTGTGCACAGCATCGTAACTTGCATAGTGATGTTGGACTGGCATCACTTTGTATTCCTAGGTGTTTGCAGTGGTCCGTGCTGCCATTCAGTATGTCCAGTCTGGGGAGGGTGCATTTGTAGTTGGAGCTGCTTGTAGGCCTTTCTCTCACAGTGGTTTGTTCTTCAATTAGGCCTCCGATTTTTAGTTCGTCTCTGCACAGATATGGGACTGAAAGAAGTCCACGAGTATCTGACAAAACTGAAGAAAGTGGAAAAATTAAAGGAGATAAGAGAGCAGGTAAGCCTATTTCTTTCTGCAGTACGGACCACGTACCACAGACAAAGCTAAGACAGTATTGATGGCACTTCCAAATAAAATACGTATGAAATTCCTGGCGTGGAGGGGCTCATGTTTGGTGGTTTGGGTTCTTTAGTTTTACATGAGCGGTTAGCATTAAATCTGTCTGAATGTTTGTTGAGCACTGGATTTTCTGTGATTCTAAATACTAGTGAAAAATGGGTTATGTGGCTGTGCTGGGAATGCTGGAGCCACACGCATAATTCAGCTCCTCTGGAATGTCGTCTGTGCATTTTGATTTAAAGGCTCTTCCTTTTTCTGTTGGCGAGAAGCTTGGAAGTTCTTTCACGTCTGTGTCATCCCAGCTTTGCCAGACTCCACGTTACTCTTGTGGTGAAAGATGAGGGAAGCTGCAGTAATGGTCCTGAACACGTGATGCAGTAGCATGCACACGTTTCGTGCAGCATCTGAATTCTGTAGGATACAGAGATTACTTGTATTGATAGATGAGTGCTTGAAATGCTGACTATTTGTGCCTGACCATAGAGCAGTCCCTTTCTGAGATGTGCCACCTGGTAACTGACAGTATGTGTGTATGAGAACTTTGGTTTTTAGCCAAGAGAAGCCATTTCTGCCATGTGAGGCAGAGGTATTGCTTTGATAAACTGTCAGAGTTTTCACATAGCTCTAAAGAAACACGGCTGGAAGATGTTGATGGTACCTTCTTCTGAGCAAGAGAGCCGAGTTTTTAAACGTAGTTTTTGAAGTGTTTGCCTTCACCTTCATCTTACATTTAACACTCAACAGCAATTTAAGTTTTGCTGTACGTTGCAGTGCCACGCCAGGCATTCAGAATTTCAGACCTATGGGGTGAATAGTTCTTTTCATACATTTCCTTACTTCCCCACCTCCCTTGAAACGTTAGAATAACAACACGCCTGCAGGATTTGCAAGACATTAATGAGCAGAGGCTGCTTTGAACTCATGCAAGGAGGTCTAGGTTGCCTGTTTTTTCAGCTGTACTTCACAGAGGTTCATCTGAACTATTTTTTTGTGCACGTTCCTTGTATAAATTGTATCTGAAGAAAAACAATTTGTTGAGATGGTTTGTTTGAATTTCACAGGACTCTAGTTTTACATAAACATTGGCTGTAACACTGATTGGGGGACAATCCTGTGCTTTGAAAACATAGAGTTTATTAGTGACAGTAGGATAAACGCCATTTAATGTTCTTCTGTTTTAGTAATAAGCTAGGTGGAGTTTTTAATAATTATTTCTAACGTACATTAGTGAATGGGGGTTCTGTTCTCTTCTTTTTGAACCCGTCCCACTGTTCTGCAGCGCATTAAATCTGGCAGAGATGGCAGTGCACGTAACCGCAGGGAAGGAAGTGCTGATGGAGGTAAGTACTTAATGCCTCTGCTTAACTATCGGGCTTGTCAGGATTTGAAAGAAAATAGTTTGTCTTAAAATGTTTGTGGAACCTGCTTGCATTTATAAATGCACACAACCAAGCCTTGAGTAATCATCCAGTAGTGTTTGGTGCGAGTTCAAGAGTATTTTGTGCTACCAACCCTGTAATTGGAAGACCTCTGTGTACCTTCTTGCTCCTTCTTTCTCGTTTCCCAGTAAGGCAGAGATGAAGTGCTAGAGGCTTCCTTGAAGAAAAGCTCATTCTCTTGACTGTGAAGTCTCTCTGCTCCCAGAGATCCACAATGCTGAGTTTCCTAAATGTAAAACTGTAGGAAGGCAAATCTGGACGCTTGCCTGTGCAGTCTTTTCCTCACTAGGCAGTCGACTGATTGCAGAGCTAATGATTTTTCCCTTCCATTATTAAATCCTGAGACATTAATACTGTTAAACCTGACTGTTCCCCTCTGCTGTTCTGAGGAAACTACCAGAGTTCCGGCTACTTTGGCCAGCTGGAATAAAGTCCATTTTGACCCAGATAGGAAATTATTCCTTGCTATTCTGCTTTCATTTTTATTTTGCATCCTTCAGTCTGATAAAAGATCTCACCCAGAAATTCTTACTTGTATTCCCTTCCTTTTTCAGTGAAACACTTCTTGCATTTTTTTCATAACTGGAAACTAGCTGGTAATTTTATTTATCCACTGACATAGCGAAAGTTTTACTGCCTTGATCCCATTCTATAGGGTAATGAAAATTACTAGCATTGTGGTAAAAGGAATATTTTAGAATGCTTTAGTATTTAGGAAGACTGCTCTACTGAGTTCTCAAAGGGGTAAGAATTAGTACTGGATTCTCATGAGTTCTCATTTCTTATTTTAGCTCAGCAGTTTCACCAGGGAGGCTTTTACATCACATCTTGTTATGTAGGAAAAAATACAGTTCGCCTAGAACTTAATTCTACCTGATCAGAGCCTTAGGCCAACTAATCCTCAGGGTGAAGTTCCTTACTTTGGTAACAGAAAAGGATGGAAATGTCTGGGATCTTTTTTCTAACATAAGCTCTCTGATGATCAGTCAAGTAGAGGCAGAGTAGGTAAGGGTAGTCACTGCAAGGGCACTCAAAACAGTGCCCCAAGCATCCAGGCAGATGGCACAAAGGGTCTCTCTTCTTACAGCAGTCATTTGTCATGATGTCTACCTGTCTTAGTAGGAAAATAAAAATAGGAAAATAAAGGCAGGACCAGGTAGCATCAGGAATTTAGTAATAGAGAATATAAATGACAAGCAAGGCAGTCCTTTATGTAAAGACAGAAATATCCCATCTTACAAATACTATTGGACAGAAAAAAGGAAAGGTGTCACCCCCTAAGAAGGTTGAGCACATCAGGAACTTTCACTGAAAACTCCACTAATTCCAAGGGATTTCTTCCCCTCCTCGGTCAGCACAACTGGAGAAAAGCAGTTGTAAACATCAAGAGGCTGAGAGGATCATCAAGGTCAGAACTGACCTCGAACTTGTCCTAGCAGTAATTCTTAAGGTGATGCTCAAGATACAGTGTCAAATTTGTGGAAGAATGGAAAAAAGCATTTGGGGAACAAGCCTGTATTAAGAGCGTGTTTGGGAAGCCTCTGTTGTGTGAAGTCAGTGGCAAAGATCCAGCCTGCCTGGAAATAACTTGGAAAACAAGCAGAGGTACAAAGAAGGTTCTGTATTGAACCTGGAGTAAAATTTTTGTTGAGATTCCTGACTAAAAGTTGTGAGTGTGTGTATGTCTGTATATCACACATATGCATCTTGTATGGTGTGTATTTAGATATATATTTTTATACATATATCGATCTGTATCTCAGTGGAGTCAAAGGCAGGGCATCTTTTTGACGTGGGGAACATGATCAGTGAAGAAGTTGTGGCAACAAACGTGAAGGATTACACTGTAGCTTGTCTACCGTGTGCTGAGGAAGACGAAGGGAAAGCCAAAGACTAAACCATCGTTTTAGCCAGTGTTTGGCATTATTTCTGGGTTATGAATCTGTATTTTTCAGCCTAAGAAGTGTCTGCAAACAGCTTGCGTGGAGACACACGTGAAGTATAAATGAGGATTACTTTACTTCAAGATCTTAATGCGCATTGGAAATACTGCTGTCTTCATTGCCAGAAAATAAACATTTGTACCCGTTTGGAGTTTCATCTCTTACAGTGTTGTTGCCAAGACCAAAAGGGATAATTTTCCATCATGGTACGGGAGATTTGTCATCATTACTGACTCCAAGGAGGTGTGGAATCATGCTTAGTTTATGACTTGGTAGCTAAATGAAAGTACTTGCTAGCTAATGGAAGTGCATATGCATTCCCAGTATTTTTGATGCAATGCGTGTTTTTCTTTCTTTCCTCTTACCAGCCCCGTGCCTGGCATCCCTAGGAGAAGTTCTTTCTGCATTTATTTCTCCCCTGTACTTGTAGTAGGAGCATTAATAGTTCAGACTTCCTTGTTGTAGGAAATGTTACTTAAAAGTGCTCAGTGAAGGAAGCTGAGAGGAAAGAGAAGCCAGCAAGGTGTGTGCTTAGAACCTTGCTTTGTCAATGTGAATTAACACAGAAGAAGCACGAGATGCACCAAAGCATACTTTGAAGACTACGAGTAGAATATGCATAGATAGTGCAAGGAGTGGAAGGAAATGACCCAAAAAACTCACGTGTGTGAGCGTCAGTATAAAGCCTACTCTTGTGTGGTGAGAGGAAAAGAAGCATTACGTCTGAAGTGCTCACCCACAACTGAACACATTTGTTCGATAAGCGCGAAAGGTTTCTTCTCTACGTGAATATCAGATTGATGGCTTGTGATCTTTTTCCTTCACATTAGAAGGAGATTGCATCAGTACATAGCATTAACGTTTTTGGTGATTAAAAAAAAAGAAAGGAAAAAAAACCTGAAGGATTTTTAACAGCACGTCTGAGTTTCAGCAGTTGTTTATCATGTCTCCCTCATGAAACGATGGTCTCGTTAAATCTTGTTGGAAAGAAAGCTGAGGTTATGTTGTTCTTGTATCACGATTTCACAGCACATGACAGCAAGTTCCTTGCCTTTTCACTGTTTTTTTTTGCCTTTCAGATGCTGGTGGTAGCAAAGGGGAAAGGCTGAGTGCCAGACTGAAAGCTTTGCCTGGAACAAGTGAACCCTATCAAAGCAGCAGCAGCAAAGCAATAGGCAAGTGGGCATCTTATGCCATGCAATTTTCCAGACCCTCAAAGAGAAGGGAATGAGAAAGATGATGTTACTGGAAGAGCAGTGTAATAATTGCACAATCAGGAAAGCGTTTTCCCCATGAAATAATCGTGATGAATGCCATCAGTTTCATTGTTCAGAGCTCCCTTTAAAGGATCTGTAGGTACTAAGGAACGTGGCCCAGTGATACTGTTTTTCTGCTGCAAGGTTTGGTCAGGAAAAAGATCTTAAAAATCCAAATGTGGTATCTTCTTCTCCTTCAGTGATCTTTCTAGTCTGCATTTCAAAGAAGATACCTTGACAGACGTGTCATGTTAGAAAGCAGTCTCCTGTTTGATTAGAGGTGTTTAAAACCAAGCCAGAAGTACTTGCAGGTAACTGTTCCAAATGTCCTTGTTTGAATCCCAGACGCTTCCTACACAGACCCACTTGGCCCACAAGCAGAAAGACCTAAAACTGCAGCAAGGAAAAGAACAGAAGAAGATGACTTTGCTGATGAAGAACTAGGAGAGGATTTGCTTCCGGAATAACGTGGGGTCCACTCAAAATCTTTTTTCCTTCCACACTTTTTAGCAAAGCAGAGCTTCTTCAGGGTGGTTTTGTACCAGTTTTCAAGAAATAAATGTTGAAACACTTTGTGTGTATGGGACCGTCTATGAAACACTTTGGAGTTGAAGCTACAGAGTGTTTTACGATCGGTGACAAATAAGTGATGCTTGGGTTATTTGACTCCTGCATTGAAACTGCAGAAAGCGAAGATTCCAATGCAGGCAGGTGAGGGGCGGGCCTTCCATCAGCGCCTGCTATTCAGTCATCGTGGCGGTGCGGCAGCAGTGTCACAAAGGCTAGAACAGTGGAACGCGCCCCAGCGGGTATATAAAGGGCCCTGCCGGCGAGCCAGCAGCCCAGAGCAGAGCGGGTAGCAGCGGAGCAGGAGCTGAAGTGAGAAGGGATCGGGGAGGGAAGGGGTTGGGGCTGCTAGGAGACAGGACAGGCAGGAGCTAGGACTGATCTTTGAAGGGACGGGGGGGCGGGCTCTTGCATCCCAGTCACGCACCTGTGTCCAGAGACACCAAGTGTGAGCAATCTTTGGGCACAGGTGGTGGTGGAGAGCTGTTTTGTCTTGTAGGCCAGGACGGGGACACGGCCGGAGCGCCGCAACTGCTGGTGTCAGCCTGCAGCCCTCCATCGGTGAGAAGAGCTCCGCACCGCCGGCCCTCGCTGTTCCTGTGGGACAGCCTCCAAGTTCCGTCTGCCAATAAAGCTTGAATTCATCAATCCCTCGGTTGGTTCCTCTCCTTTGTGCCGTCGCTCTTTCCTAGGGTACGTGTCGATCAAACCAATAAATATGTATTGAACACCCTTCCTGTGTACCCAGGGATCTGATCGCTCTGAGGTCACACAGCCCCATGAAGGTGCGTGACCAACCGCCACGTGCTCAGGGCAGCGCCACGAGCCGGGAGGCCGGGAGGCCAGGAGGCCGGGGCAGCCCGTGCCGCTTCGTGCAGGGCGCAGATTGGGCTCAGCTGTTGCCAGGAGCGCAGCGGCACGGTTTCCGTGCGAGGCCGTGGAGGGGGGTAAAGCGCGTCAGCGCCTTAGCTGCCTTCTCGGAGAAAACAGCGCTTATCCTGAGGGGTTGATGCGCACCGACTCCAGCGCGCCTCACAATAAAGCTGTGTTTCACGAGCCCGTCGCCCGGCTCTGCGGTTCGCGCGCTGCTCGTTTCCTTCCGAGCTCGGGGCCGGGCTCTCTCCCCGCCGGAGCGCTCGCCTCCTCCGTGAACGCCCGCGATCCTCCTGGCACGCGAGGCCAGGGGAGATGCGGCGAGGCGCGGGGCGCGTTTCCAGCTGCTCCTCCGCCGGGAGACAGCCAGCGGCACGCGCCCCTCGCCTTCCTCGAGCGGCCCGCGCGGCGCCATGCAGAGAGGCCGGGTGAGGAGGGGCGGCGGGCGGGGGCCGCGCGGCCGGGAGCGGGTCGGGCGCGGGGGGCGGGGGGAGCGGACGGCGGGCGGCGGGCGGCGGGCGGCGGCCCCGCTGACGGCTGCCCGTTGCAGGTGCTGACGGCGCTGCTGTGCGCGGCGCTGCTCCCGCTCGGCTCGGACGCCGCCAAAGCGCCCAAACGCCCGGCCCGGCCCCGGAGCTGCGGCGAGCGGCCCGAGGAGCTGCTGGAGCAGCTGTACGGGCGGCTGGCGGCCGGCATGCTCGGCGCCTTCCACCACACCCTGCAGCCCGAGCCGCCCGAGCCGCCCGGCCGCCAGCGCAACGCCAGCTGCCCCGCGGGGGCCCGGCCGGGCGGCGACAAGAGGTTCCGGCTGCCCGTCAACCTGCGCAGCGCCTCGCCCTGGGCTTACAGGTGACCGACGGGCGGCGGGGGAGCGCCGGGTGGGGCCGGGAGGCGGCGGGCCCGAGGCTGCGCCGCAGGATGTGGCGCCGAGGGGGGTCCGACGGGCGGGTGCCGGGCGATGGCGGCGGGGAGGCCCTCCGAGGAGAGCCGGTGGGAGCCCGAGGCGTGAGGTGCGGCTGTACGTCCGGCAGCCTTCGGCACGGCTCCTCGGAGCGATCGCCCTGCCCGTGTGCTGTGTGCCCGCTTCTCCTCGGAGAGGTAATCCCGCCGAGAGGAACACGGCCGATGTGCCCCGTCAGGCTTTCCGAAACGAAGTGCTGTTGGAAATAGTACGACAAAGAAAGCGGACGGAGAGCTTTGGAAGCCAAGCGTGCGTAACGCCCGGTGTGATGAACTCCCGCCTGCAAAACTCAGGTATTGGTGCGTCGCTTTTGTCAAATAGCACTGCCTGCAGAACGTGGCTCACTGTGGAAAGCGGGGGGTTCCATTCTCGGCCTCTCTGGGCAGGTGTTTCCTTTCAGTTGGAGCTCTCGTGCTTCACAGAGGACGCTGCCCAGTCACAGATCCTGTTTCTCCTTCATCGTTGGTGCTGTGAGACACTGCAAGATGCATTTGGAAAGCGCGCAGGACAGAATTGCCCTTTATGAAGAGCGATGAGCTTTGATGATGACAACCTGCTGTTTCACAGGCTGTGCAGGCAGAGCCAAGGAGCGCCCGCAGAACCAGCTGTGCTGCATCGTGTTCAGAGGACGGCTGTTCAGTCCCTCAGCAGTCTCCCAGATGCCTTTAGAGCTGTTGTGTATCTCCAAAAAGGACACGCGGCCCTCGTAAAGCGCTCTGTGACGCAGTGCACCTTGTCAGTGGACAGGCAGTTCCTCTGACATGATCTTGGCCATGTCTTCTCCATGGCAAGGGTATCGTGAAGATCTGCGTACCGCTCTTTCCTGTGTGAGAGAACTTTACCAGCCTCCCTACGTTTAATTCTTTCAGTCTTTCCCCACAAATTGCTGCCCTTTGCTCATCTTGCAGGAGTCCCAGGTGTTTCCTGCTGCTGTTCCTTGGGACTGCCAGGGTTGTTTGGTGGATGGCCAGAAGTGCTGTCAGCCAGCGTTGTGTGAGAAGAGCAAATGGTCCTCTCCATGTAGATGTTGTACTGAGGGATGTGATTTAGTGGGGAAATAGGGGTGACAGGTGAGCAGTTGGCCTGGGTGATCTCGGAGGTCTTTACAACCTTGGTGTTTCTGTGTTCGTCTGCACCACAATGGCACACGCCTCAAACGTGAATTTCACTCCTTCAGACTTGCATGAGGATTCCTGCACAGCTCCCGCATCTCCTGATGTCCTCCAGCTTTTTTTCTGCCAGTGAAGATATACCGTACTGTTGATTTCTGCTCCATGCAGAAATCTTTTTTTATTTTTGGCCTACATTTTAATGTCCGAGATGTACTATGCTATTATTCTGTCTTCACTGGTGTTGCAGCAGTTCCTGTTGTGACCATCTGCAGATCTCATTAACATGCTGCTTACACTCCCTATTCCAGATCATTAATAATGAGGATATCAAGCCTGGCTGCACTTACCTTCCCTACACGTCTCCCCAGACACCTGCTCCCAGCTGTTGAATGCTGCTTCTTGTCATTCTTCTGCTCACATGTCAGTTCAGCTCATGTCAGCTGGATTTTTTTTCATATCAGCATTTGTGATAAAGAATCAAATACGTTACTTAGAGATCAGTGTTCCCTGTAGAGAACTTGTTCCCTGTATAAATCCGAGTTTGTCATTCTGTTCAGTGTGAAAGATTTAGCTTTGACTGGGTGAAAGTACTGATCTTTGTGTGGATTCTTTCTTTGTCTTTGTTCTGTGCTTGCAGCTTGCTTTCTATTACTCGATCCTTAATTTGGTTACACAACTAACAAGACTTTAGTCATATTTGGCATGCTACAACCCGGGCATACAGGAGATGCATGTGGACTGCACCATGAACTGTCTGGTCCAAACTCTTGCTGCTGGCAGCAGCTGTCCATTGGTATTTCAGCAGAAGTTGGAGTAAAATGCAAGTTTGTCTGCCTGATACTGAAATTCCATCCCAATGGCCACAGGAGTTTGGTGTATAGCTGTGAGCATGAAGCTCAGAATCAGAGAATTGCATGTGTTGGAAGGGACCTCAAGAGATCATTGAGTCTAACCCCCCTGCTAAAGCAGCTGTCCTATGGTACATTGCACAGATAGGCGTCCAGAGAGGTCTTGAATAGCTCCACAGAAGGAGACTGCACAACCTTTTTTGCTCCATTACCCTTAGCATTAAGAAGTTCTTCTGCATGTTAGTACGGAACTTCCTATGTACAAGTTTGAGGCTATGCAACCTTGTCCTATTGCTGCACATCACCTGGCCTCACTCATTTGCCTCCCATCTTCCTTTAAATATTTATAACCATTGCTAAGATCTCCTCTCAGTCTTCTTTTCTCCAGGTTTAACAGAACCAGGTTACTCAGCTGTTCCTCACACAGGAATTGCTCCAGGCCCTTTACCATCTTTGTGGCGCTCCTTTGGACTCTTTCTTGGAGATCCCTGTTGTTTTTTACCTGAGGAGCCCAGAACTGGACACAGTAGTCTGAATATGACCTCACCAGGGCAGAGAAATCAGGGAGGATCACCTCCCTTGACCTGCTGGCCACACTCTTTTCAATGCACCCCAGGATCTCATTGGTCTTCTTGGCCACAAGAGCACACTGCTGGCTCATAGCCAAGCTGTTATCTACCAGGACATCCAGGTCCTTCCCTGCTGCTCCTCTCCAGCAGGTCATCCCCCAACCTGTACTGATGCATACAGTTATTCCTCGCCAAGTTCAAGACTCTACACTTGCAGTTGTTAAACCTCATCTGGTTCCTCCCTGCCCAATTCTCCAGTCTAGCCAGGTCCTGTTGAATGGGAGCCACAGGCTTCTGGTGTGTCAGCCACCCCTCCCAGCTTTGTATCATCAGCAAACTTGCTGGGGGGGGGGCTCTGTCCCTTCATCCATGTCACTGATAAAGATGCTGATCAAGATGGGACCCAGCACCGACCCCTGGAACACCGCTGTTTACAGGCCTCCAACCAGATTCTGTGCCACTGACGACAGCCCTCTGAGCTCTGCCAGTCAGCCAGTTCTCACTCCTTCTCACTGTGCACTCATCTGTCCCACACTGAGGTTCATAACAAAGATGTGGGAGACAGCGTTGAGCTCAGATTCCATTTGCTGCCTAGCACAAGTGCTGTTCCATTAATCAGCTGTTTTCATCGACCATATTGCCTGCTATTTGAGGGCTATAATAGCGTTCAAGCCTAGGACTGAAAGGCAGAGTTACAAAAGCTCTGTAGTCAAGAAATCATGCCTATTTCTGAATTTCCAAGTCTTACGGCTTCTGTGTCTCTCTTGGAGCCTCCCCGTTTTTTACTAAAGGGTCACTTCATGAATTGAGAGACAGGATTAGAGCTTCAGATTCTCCAGAGTGTAGTCCTCCTCTGTTTATTTTGCATGCAGCACTTTGTGACTGCCAGCAAAATAATAAAGAACTTCTGCATAGAGGTAACGATTTCCATGGGAGGTTGTTTACTGAAACACAGTAGGATGAAATAACTAGCAGAATTTCTCACCATTTTTTTAGGATTCCATCTTACACTTCTTTTCTGTAGTGAGTTCCTTGAGATTTGGTTCCTATTGCCTATGTTCATCTGATGGTGAAGTCCAGTGCAATCTGGTCCCTTTCTCAAACATTGCCTTGCTTGCTTTTTCTGCTTTTCAAGAAAGTTTCCATTTAAAACTTGAACATAAGAAGTCCCATACTAACATGCAGGAGAACTTCTTTACTTTAAGGGTAACAGAGCACTGGAACAGGCTGCCCGGAGAGGTTGTGGAGTCTCCTTCTATGGAGGTATTTACAGACTCCTAGAATCAATCCTTAGAGTTGGAAGGGACCTCTAAAGGCCATCTAATACAACTCCCCTGCAATGAACAGGGACATGCGCAGCTCAGTCTGGTTGCCCAGGGTCTGATCCAGCCTGCCTTGAAAGTGTCCAGGGATGGGGCATCCACCACATCTCTGGGCAACCTGTTCCAGTGCCTCCCACCCTCACTGCTCTTCTTCTTTATATCCAGCCTAAATCTCTCCTCTTTAAACTTGAAGCCATTTTCCCTTGTTCTTTCACCACGGACCCTGTTGAAAGAATCTGTCCTCCTTTCCCGTAGCTCCTCTTTAGATACTGAAAGGCTGCTCCCAGGTCACCTTGCAGCCTTCTCTTCTCCAGGCTGAACAGCCCCAGCTCTCTCAGCCTGTCTTTGGAGAGGTGTTCCATCCCTTGGGTCATTTTTGTGGCCCTCCTCTGGTCGCACTCTAACAGGTCCATGTCTCTCCTATACTGAGGACTCCGTGCTTGGACACAGTACTGCAGGTGAGGCCTCACCAGTGCAGAACAGAAGGGCAGGATTCAAGACGCATCTGGACACCTACCTGTTACAGGATAGCTGCTTTTGCAGGGAGGCTGGACTCGATGGTATCTCAAGGTCCCATCCAACCCCTGTGATTCTGTGTTTCTGTGATCCTTAGTTTAGTGCTCACTTTTACATAAAATGTTAATAAAAGTAATGCAGGCTGGCCTGTCTTCATGGCCAAACCTGACTACAGCGCTTTCGGAAATGAAGTCATACACATTTTTCCTTTAGATAAAAATCCAGTGATTTGCAAGAACCCTATCCAAGACTTTTTCCGGGATTTAGCCTTTGTGTGTGGCACAGTGTGCATGGCCCAAAGGTGCAGCTGAGGCTGAAAACAGTGGGGGACACAGAACTGCTGTCTTTTCTGAGTACCCGTTCATACAGCAGCTGGATGGTACCGGAGGTGTGACATTCAGATCATTGTCCTGTTGTACTCTTGAAAGATTAGGAGCTAACAACTGTTTTTTTACCCTTGGCAGAACATGTAAATCTCTGTAGCAGGTGTTCATTTGCTTTGTTCTCATTGTGCTCAGTGTGTTCTATATGCAGGTAGTAAGCGTGGTGCGTGTGGAACTGAATTGCCCAACGCCAGCTGTGGGTTTCTGAAGTTAGCCGTGCCTGCCTAATCCAGCACAGCATCTGACTGCTGGATTTGGAAGCTTGAAGACTATGAAGTGCTAATATTATTAAAAAATACTCCATCTGAAGTAGCAATACAGGGCAAGAGAGACAAAGGCTTTGCAAGAGTTTTGCTTCTGACAGCAGGGTCTCTCTTGAGTTTCCAGGCTTAGTGCATAAATGGCAGGAAGTTTGTTTTTCACTGGGAGCTCTCAAGACGCTCATAGGGCTGTAAGTAAAAGCAGCCTAGAACTAGTCACACTTCATTAGCAGTTCCAGTTCAGCACAAACCCGCTGCTTGTTCCAGCAGATGGAAATGTAGCAGCCCCATACAGCTCCCTGCTTGGTCATTTGCAGATGAGGACCACTGGCTAGGGAGAGATAGCTTGGCATACAACAACTCGAGCTCAGTGCCAAGGGCAGCCTGCATCTATGTGCTTGGTCTGTGTAGTTTGCAATTGTGGTACAGCACCTGGCACAAGGATACAGGGGACACTGCTGTGGGAAGTTGCAGATCTCAGGTCATCCTTCACCTTCACCTGATCCACAGAATCATAGAATGCCTTGGGTTGGAAGGGATCTCAAAGATCATCCAATTCCAACCCCCCTGCCACAGGCAGGGTTGCCAGTCTCTAATTCAGCCATTACATCATATTGCCAGCGTTCCATCCAACCTGGTCTTGAACACTTTCTAGGGATGGGGTATCCACAGCTTCTCTGGGCAAATTCTATTCTGTCCACCCATTTGGTGCAAATTCTACCACACGTAGGAAGGAGTCAGTGGGAACTTGGAGCACACTTTTTGTCCATTTGTTGAACACTGTCAAACATGCTTGCCCTGTTCCAAAAGACTTAAAAAATGAACTTGTAGTGGTTGGAATAATGAAGATACATCAACCTGCAGCAGCTGAGGCTGTGGTCACTGAATGCACAAACTGATGATCTGTGCATAAAGACAAGAGAAGGACACAAAATACACTTGCATGATTAGGTTGTCTTTGTCGGGAAATTTGAGCTGAAGATGCAGAACCTTTCAGTTTAGCTTTTAATTTCATTACTTAGAGCATTCAGCCCTCCAGTTCTGCTCTGGATGCAAAACTGTATTTACATTTTGGATTCATTTTCACATTTGTGACTGATTCCTTTCAGTCCTCATCTCATGGACCAGTGGTACTTACTCCACACTTAGGAATATAAGAGATTTTACTACAGGCAGTAGAAAACCACACCACACCATCTTTCCAGAAAACCTAATTTGTGCCTGACTTTTTCCATGTGAGAATTCAGAAGGGGGAAGCTTGTTGCAGTCCATGATTCCACTGACACTGTTCTCTTGTTATTAGTGAAAATTGCAGTGTTTGCATCAAGAAGCATTTTTGTGCTTTCCAGTAATCATAAACCAGGTGCTAGAGATAATATAGCATAGGAAATACCACTGGCTTGAAATATCGTGTTTTTAACATTCTGCCACTGAAATTATTCACATTTGAGTTTGAAATAGGAATGTATCACAGGAGAACCAACCATATTTCACCGTCTTTCTTTTTGCTGGCTAGCAGACATTTCATTGCACATTGGTGTGAGATCCTATAACTTAAAGGTATTTCCTGGGGAAAGTAAGCAAGTGTAAATGGGACAGAGCAGCTTTGCAAAACCTATCAGCAGCATCACAGATGTCTGGCTATACAAGAACTGGCCACATTTCTCTGCAAGGAAATCAAGTTTCTTAAAAAGATAAAGAATCCAGAATATATGGCCACTGCAAAAATAGAAGTGAAAAAGTCTTGTTTTTGTAATGATCCTAGAATCATAGAACCATTTGAGTTGGAAGGGACCCTTTAAAGTCAACTGGTCCAACCTCCCCCCTGCAATGAACAGGGCCACCTACAGCTCCATCAAGTGCGCAGAGCCCCGACCAGCCTACTCTTGACTGTCTCAGGATGGAGCATTCTGAGCCAGCATCTCACCATCCTCATTGTAAAAAACCTTCTTCCAATCCAAGTTATGGCCCTTCCCAGCAATTCCAGTATAAGCAGGAAGAGGGAGTGGAGAACTGAGGAACAAGTGCATCGTCACCACAATATGCACTGTGGCTGCACACTTCATTTTAGTGCCTCATACTCTTTTTTTAATTTCAAAAAACAAGCTGACTGTGCCAGCTATTGCTGTCTGCTAAAAACGTGAGCGATAAGGCCATCAGGGTCAGTATAAACCTGAAACCACACAGTATAAACCTGAAACCACACTATCGCACCTTTTCTTGTTGGAGGAGGCTCAGGGGAGACCTTATCACTCTCTACAACTCCCTGCAGGGAGGTTGTGGTGAGCTAGGGGTTGGCCTCTTCTCCCACATAACTAGTAATAGAGGGAATGGCCTCACATAGTGCCAGAGGAGATTCAGGTTGGACATTAGGAAATACTTCTCCAAGAGAGTGGTCGTGCACTGACACAGGCTGCCCAGGGAGGTGGTGGAATCACTGTCCCTGAAGGTGTTCAAGAAATGTTTAGATGTTGTACTGAGGCATGTGGTTTAGTGGGAAATTTGGTGATATGTGCATGGTTGAACTGGATGATCTTAGATGTCTTTTCAACCTTGGTGATTCTATGATTCTATGTGGTTAGAGGAAGAGGCAGAAACTACAGAGGTGAATAAGGCAAAGAAATGCTCAGTTCTACTTTTAAGAGGAAGGAACATTTACAACCCTGAATACCTTAGGCGTACTAGGGAGCAAAAACTGTTGCAGAAAGAACTGTACAAAGTAATTCCATTTAAATTATATAATTCTAAATAATCATGTCAACAGTAAGAATGTTAACAGTATCTGTAGTGCATTTTTGAGAACTCAAGGCAGATAATAAGTTTGGAAGTGTCCAAGCCTTCTCTAATACTCTAGTTTCTCACTCAGTCCAAAGTGCAAGACTGACTCTGTTGAAACCCCTGAATTGCATTTTGGGAAGGCAGTCACTTCGTACGTCAGCAGGCTCTGGAGGACTCGATCAGTTCAATGAGTCGTTTGTGCTCTTTCTTTCAGTTTTTCAACGAAGAAGCCAGACAGCAACAACTACTGCTGTTTATCCTGGCAGCAAATCCCCCAAAACATTATATGAATGTTTACGGTCAAATAACTTTATAATAATGTTTTCCAGATGAATATGCAGAGAGACGCTAATGAATCTTTATTATCTGCTTCCCTGTAGAATTTCATATGACCCCACAAGATACCCTAAATACATTCCCGAAGCATACTGTCTGTGCAAGGGCTGCCTGATGGGGATCTTTGGCGAGGAGAATTTTCACTTCCGCAGCACCCCCGTCTACATGCCCACCGTCATCCTCCGCCGCACCTCCTCCTGCGCTGGGGGCCGCTATGTGTACACGGAAGACTACGTCACCATCCCAGTGGGCTGCACGTGTGTGCCTGAGCAAGAAAAGGAGGCCGAAAGCGTAAATTCCAGCATAGACAAGCAAGAAATGAAGTTGCTGGTAAACCAGAACAAGCCGTCGTCGGAATGAAGAATATAGGAGTCGTCTGTGCGTTATTGGCTTCACGTCACTATTTCACCACCTCAGCAAACTGCGCGCAGCAGAGAAACGCATCAGATTATGCTGCTTCTCTGCTTACAGTTATTTCAGTTATAGGATGGAAAATTCTGTTCAGTTGCTCAGATCGTTAGCGATGACAATTCATATTAAGAACTTCTGTAGCTCAAGTGAGTATTTCTCGCAAATTCCAGTATAGCTTTTTTCCTTTCCTTAGCATGGAACATTTTATCCGTACTTATTCACAGTAAATTTTAGGAGATGATGCAATAGTCAGAAATGCTAGCTATTGCTATAGCAGACTGCTGGTTGTAGATATTATTCAGGAATCACTTATACTCTACTTTTAAATACTTTTATATAAAGATCACATAGCTTTTGTCCGGATGCCAAAACATCAGTTAAAAATACAATTTCTCAGGGTGGGAGAGCCTTCCCTTATGTCAAGTCAACCCAAAGCAGCATTTTTTGCTGTTATGTCTTTGTCTGTTTATACAGCACAGCATGGGGACCTTCACTGGGCTGGAGTCATTCATGAAACAACTTTCTGTGAGTTAGCTATTTTTAAACTCACCAAATTGCTAAGGGTTCAAAAGGGTTAGAAAAAAAAACAACATGCTAGAACGTGATGAAGGTGCAGTGGACTTCCCCATTGTGGACTACAGCTAATTGAATGGAAAATATCCATTAGAATAAATAGAGTTTGGATCCCAAGAATTCTGTGTTGGATTTCATTCACTGTTAACTTCTTAACAGTTTCTTGAGGTAAAACTGTTCAGTGAAGTTGAAAGGCCAAAATGTTTTTCTTGTCATTGAGATGAATCACAGCCAAGCCAAACTGGTTAAATACAACTAATTTACACAATTAGTTCTGCTCAGTTTTCCCATGTTACAAGCAGCAGACAATCGCCTGTGAAAACACTGCCATGCAGAAAAGCATTCAGGCTTTCATCTTGCAGCTTACAGGAACCTGGGGGCAAGACCCAGCTACAGACTATCAATAAGCAAAAACTTGCAGTTCCACAATGAGGGACCAAAGATTGACTTAGTCTAGAGAATGACGGTAAGGACTAACTGGGTAGCTTGCATGACCACAACCTGTAGAAAGGTCACAGTCACCAAAGTGTGAGATAAATCTCAAGATGAACAGCAGAGAGTATCTTTTACAGTTGAATGACTGTGGCTACAATATTGTTGTAAAATAGAATAAATACAGTATGTGTCGAGGCATTTGCTACATCAAGAATCTTAAAATTGGGCTTGGGTCATGGAGGACAAAGTCTCAATCCTTCACAAAAACATGCCTTTGGAGTGTCATTGGATGCAGAATGGAAAGTCTGTGAGCTAAACAGAATGAACAAGTTAAACAGAGATTGAAAATCAGCTAACTCCTTGTCTTGATGCATAATCATTGATCGTGCTCTTTATGGCTCAGTATGGCATAATGGCATTTTTGTAGTGCAGTCTGTCTAAGAAGCCTAAAAGAACTTCAAGAATTCTGGGAACCAATAAAAGAAAGATTCCCATCACAATGTCAGATTGAAGTATGTAACTGTTTCTTAAAGATGTGTTTTTTATTACTATACCTTAGCTTCATGTCTCCTCAGAGCGGATACTTGTATCACAAGGAGATTCTCAAAGGAAGGTTCAAAAGAGGCCACAAAGTGTTCATTGGACTCAGAGAACAGCTAATTGCCTCGCTGTCGCCAGCAATTAAAAGGTGCTCACCTGTTCTCCAGAGAATATAAATACTTGAAGCTGATAGAGCCATTTTTCTTTCCTCCTAATGTGGAAGAACTTCTCATCCCCAGAGAAAAGGGAAGTGCTAATCAAAGACAGAGGGTTTCAAAAGGAAGCAGACTTGCAGAGATCAATACGCATTAGATGATACTTCAGCAGTTCCTTAAAGGTTTCACTGTTTAACACAGTATTTTTTCTCCACACACATATTTCAGGAAGGATGAAATTGGAGCTTCAGACTCCATAACATACTGAACAAATTGTTCATTGCAAAAGACAATAGAAGTAGCCCACAACAACAGCAAAATAAACAAAGCTCCTTCTAAAAACTGTCCTCCAGAAAATCAGTGTGACTGACCACATCCTTCTGATACACAGATCCATGTTTCAACAAATGTGTTAACTAGCATCTTTGGATTTATTTGTGTGACACAGAGAGAAAAAAAGCTCCCATTTTGTTGTAACTGTCCTGCAGCCATCATTTCATGGCATCAGTTCGAGTTTCTTCAAGTAACTGGAAAATATTCTGGGAGTTTGTGGGAATCACGGGCTAACACCAGGTGAATGGAACTCCAGTGGTTTTGTCAGTACAGAAGAACAGATGCTTACATAAAGCTTCAGGAATTGGATGGCTGAAAGGAAAGTATTAGAGAACTGCAAAACCTCAGTGGATCAATGGATTATGCATATTGGTGACCTTCTGTTCATACTGCAACAAGTGCAGAAAGCTTCCTATGGTCACAGGCAACCTCATGCTATTTTCCTTTCCTTTTTTTTAATCTTCTTTCTCTTCTATGACAAGCTTTCTAGCTGAGCCAGTTTGCTTTCTGATCCAGCTTTCCAGTTAGGTGTCTCTTGAAAGTGGTGTTTATGTTTCAGTGTGAGCAACTGGTAATAATTTGTGATTGAACAACTGTTTCCTAATACTTAACATCAAGAACTATTAGCTGTGCAAACATTTATTAACCTTCATCATACCCTTCCATATATAAACTCTCTCCACATTACTCGTGGAAAAGTTTGAGTATTAAGTGTAATTTGCATTTGTTTGGATTTTTTTTCATTTTCTTTAAGACTTCATCACATTGTGGATTTATATCAGTTGGACTTCAGCTGTGGTGTGATATTTTCCAGCTTTTAGCCCTCTGGTTACAGCTGCTGTAGCCTTGCCTTTAATTTGCACGGGGGGAGGGAAGTCCATTGGAGTTGCTTCGAGGTTTACAAACTATTGACAGAAGGCAGACATGAAATGCCTCATTGGACCAACTCCAGGCCCAATAAATGCAAACAATTCAAAGCTGAAACTATCTGGCAGCTGTGGCTGATTTGAGAAAATTTTTGTTGTGCCAGGAAAATCTTCTCCTGCAAGGAGGTTGTCCCTGGAATTCATTAGGAGCCACAAAACAATATACTTGGTAAAGGAATTATTTTCTTCTCTGTAGTATCACTTAAGATACATTGGAAAATTTGTATCATGCAGGAAGGCTGAGAAAATCCTGAGATGCTTGCTTTGGTTTACTGGCCCATCATTCCAAGAAGGTGTTTGCATAACCAGGCAGTGGCCTGCAGCTGCAAATAAGCACAAGATTGCCAGCAGTAAGGGGAAGAGGGAAGAAGGCGATTACATGCTCTCAGAACGTATAACTGCCTGTTAATTTCTCTGGGATTAGGGAGCAGCTGTAACTATAGGAGGGAGATCAGCACGTATTGCTGCGGGGTGGTGTGAGCTACTACTTGTTTCTGCAGCACTTCCTTCCAAGGAAGCTGCAGAATATGAGGAGAAATGGAGCAGCAGCATCAGCGGGTGCTTCCCACTTGGACTGAGGGGCGAAGGCACGAAGCCTGGCTGGCTGTGTGACTCTGAGATGAGCACAACACTTTAATGCCAATTAGAGTTTAATGAAGGCTTCAGCTGTCATGTGTTACAATGCAGGTAGCCATGGCACCTGCCCCTTCATGTGCACAGTGCTAGGTTTCCTCTGCCAGGTGTCACACGGTGTACTGGCACATGGCTGCGTGGCACTGAGAGGTCCTGCTGCTTGGCAGCATTGGAAGAATGGTTTCATGTTGAAAGCTTCACAGAGAGAGAGGTAATCCATGAGAGGTAATCCATGCAATAAAGCTAGCCAAGAGCTACATGACACTGATAATCCTGTTCCAGAAAAGAGATGTTTGCTGTTACATAACTTACTGCATTGGCACAAAGTACAAATTCACTACAGACTTTTGTGGCTTCAGAAACACAGCAACTTCCCCATAAACAAATACAGGAAAAATAGTTCCCACCTATCACTGATAAACACTGTGAATGCCACCAGTCAAGCTCTGCTTGGGCAGCTGCCCATCCTCACCAGCTTTGGGAGAAGGAAGCCGGTGGATAATGGGCTGCTCTGTGGACTGCCTCTACAAAAATTTACAAGTACCCTCATTTGCAGTCACACATCTTCACAGAGCCTCTTTTCAAAGCTGTCTGGCCACTGTGTGAGAGGCAGCAGTTATTTGGCAAACTGGGTTTCTTGGTACAACTCAAAGTTGTACTTTTTTAAAGAAAAACAAATGAGTCCCTGATGAAGTTAGCAAAGTCCCATCTGAGGCCTCTGTGTAGTTCAAAGTTTCAGGAGTTGCTTCATATTGCATTGCCTCCATTTAGTTGGCATAGTAATAAACACAAAACAGTTCACAGCTGTGATTTATGCCAATGCCTACGTGTTTAACACTGCTTTGCTTTCTTATTTTCAAACTGGTCACGTAACAGCAATGGCTCAGGCTCCTGGAAAACAGCTAAGCCCAGCTCTGTGTGTCACCTGTGGGCAGGAATTTTCAAGGAGAATTCTGGTATTAGTGGGCTTAACAGCAGGGGCATCACTTGGTTTGACAGGTATTGGCCATAGGCATGCAGCGACTCTTGGATCAGCCTTGCTGAGCTCTTCCTCTACCACACAGGCACTGTTCTGACAGTATCCATTAGCAGCCCTGTGACAGAAACCAACAGGAGTGAAAGAAAGAAAACTGGTGCCAAGAATCTCAGGAGCACTGTAAAGGGTGGGGAAGCAGCTGACGAAAACAATGTGGGGGAAAAGTCTTAGGACATGAACAGATCTGCTGGAAAGCAGAGAGGAGAGCAAGAGTGGCTTGGGAAGAGTATTTAGGATCCCGTTTTAGCTCCAACTTGGGAAGCACGATTCTCTGAGCACTGTAAAAATATTTCATCTACAATATTTCTCCACATTTGTTTACAGATGGGACAATCTGCATCCAAACAGCGCACATGCACAGAAAGATGAGTATGACCTCTATGTTATTAGAATTCTTGCCTCAGAAGGATAATTAAGCTTATCCCTCTCATAAAATAGAATTTCTAATACTTAGGTGCTTCATTTTGTAGATGCAGCACTTCTGTTAGCCTTCTACACAAATCCAATATCTAATATGCTATACAAAGATAAGTACATATATTTTGTTTGGTATATTTACAGATGATAAAAACTTTGGAGTGCCTTGGAATTCATGAACCAGCTTTCACCCAAAAACACATCAGTAGTGTAGCCAGGAGGTTAAAGAAAACTGGCTCTAAAAGGGTCCTACTATCAACAATCCCATCTCTGCCAAAGTTTTTTTTAATGCAGCATCTACTTTGACAGAAATTGCTTGAAATACAGCCAAACTCTTTTATATAAAATTTAATATTTGCCTGTTAGTAGGAGTTCATTACCAAACGTTATACCTCGTCGGCCTTTTAAGATCCAACAGTTTCTGTTCTACTCCTAACACTTCTGTCTGTGGAACAGAAGACCAAGAAGAAAATTGGTATTCAGAAAAAAAGACCTGTTCTTGGAACCACAGACTTGATATATCTGTAAATTATCTTTAACTTATCAATATTGAAATCGCTGAAAATGCAGGCACTGGATTTAATCAGATCCACAGCGATTCGAGATCTGCTGCACATGTGCGAGTCAGGTCACTACACAAGCAGTATTCCCTAGCCAGCAATAGGAGCAATTCAAAGAGAACCCATGGACACGGTCTGAAGCACTGATTTAGACAACTGGCTGATGTGTGGCATTTTTATTAATTACTTCGTATTTTAAGCTGATTTTACCTGACTTACATGCAGCATTCTTATTGAAAGTAAAGCTCTGTCTAGGGGGTGAATCTTTATTATGGTTTTCTCAAGGAGACGTGAGGTTTATACCAACATTTAGAGATAAGCTTAGCTAGTGAATACAAAAGTCTAGTTGGGTATTTCTTGTTTGTTTTTCAAGTTAATCAGTTTTTGTTGCTCATGTTTATTCTGTATTGCAAAATAAATGCACTGTACTGCTGCAAAGAGATGTTTAACATGACTTTTTTCAAGCACGACACACGTATGCAAGTTTACATGGTGACAACTGCTGACAAAATAGATCTCATCTTCTACAAAAACAAAGTCTGGATTTTTGAAAACCCTTTATAAAAGGTGAAACAACCTCTGCTTTTTTTTTTTTTAAAGCCACTCTGGTGACAATAATAGATAGCAGGTCTTAGCTTAGTTGGCAAATCTTTGATTATTCTAAAAAGCAAGGGGAGAGACCTACCCAGAAGGAGATGCGTTTTCCCTTTAGTTATTCTTTACAAAAACATCAGCTTGCTGGATAATGAGTCTGAACACATCATGTTCAGAACAAACAGCTCTGAAAGGGGAGACCAACATTCACGCTCTTTCAATCATCCGCTAGCTACCAAGTCAGCAGGCTGACACAGCTGACAGATCTGATGTGTGTCAGGCAAGCACCTACGTGGCGTTAGAGGCCACCCAGCTAAAATCACTTCAGAAAGGTCACAGAGAAGTACTCCAATGGTAAAAATACTGGTTGGAATGGAACTCTAACGAAGAAGTTTCCATTATGCAGAACCTGCGCTGTTTGTGTCCCTACTTACCTAACAAGTAAGGTAAACAATACTTGCAAATGCTTACACATTTAAAAGAGAAACACTATCATCTTGTGTTGATTACTTCTAGCCCAGAAAATACTGCTTGGAGTGGAATGTTTCAGCATTGTGAGTCACTGAGAAAAAATACAAAGTAACTTGATTGAAAAAGTTCCAGATCTTCTGAGAAAGTTCCAGATCTTCTCCCAAGAATCAGTGCAGTCCAGAAGCATAGTTCACATAACATCGAAATTCATTAGCCAGGTTCCGAGAGTGTTTTGGAATAAACTTGCATATCTTCACACCAAGATGCTTTGCTGCCTGTTCCTCCATGATTGCACCTGCACCAAAAACAACAGGTAGTTGGTGAGAAAACAGTAACCATATCAGAACGTTTGGACTTTTTATTAGCTTTTTATAGCTCCCAATTGCCTGCCTCCTTTTTCTTTAGGGAACAGACTTAAAGCAGCTGCACTGTCACTTTGTTAACTGTCTCTTCAACAATTGAAGTTTTGTGCAATTTAAGCATGAAAGAATGGAAGAACATCCTCAAAGTTTCTTGAAAATAGGTAGGAGGTAATATCAGTGCCCCTTTCACTGAAAAGAGAAACGTAAACTCCATCTTACTGCTACGTGGCAGAGAAATTTCATGGTGGGGAGCATGGGAAATGCAAACAGATTACACACACTATTTTATTTAAATAAACCACAGTGTGATATTTATGGCTCCACGCTGAGAAATCGTTTCCTTGAAGAGTATTTGTCAAATCATGTAAACTGAAGGCCCACTTATCCATTTTAGGAAAAAAAAATATCTCAGAACTACTTTCATGCATGACTGTCTTTTACAGTTAAACAAAGAAGTAGACTTTCTATGTCCACATGTTATTTTCATTTTTCTCTGTTTTGCCTACTTGGTTGACTGCCCAGAATTGTACATACAGAGGGTTTTTGTCCTTTGGATTTTGTTTTGCAAAAGTTTCTTGAATGTCTTCAGATGTCTGATTGTAAGGCTACAGCTTTAAGAACCACCGCAGCCGAGGCAGATGCTCGTGGCTTCTTAAAGCTATGGAGTGCATCTTCACAAACAAGGCCTGCAAATGCACTCAGTGAGTCTTCCAGCTTCACTGCTGTAATCACCAATTTTTAATTCCTCCTGCTGCATTTTGATGCCTAAGAACCAATTATTTGAACCAATGGCAGAATTTTCCAGTGCTCGTTCACACTGCAATTGCTATATTGACCAGTGAGGAGCAGCTGATATGGAAAAGAAAAAGAAAAAAGTTGTCTTTTTCTTGTTTTTCTTTTGAAGACTTAGCTGAAACCATCCCACTTCACCAGGCAAAGGCCATGCTAACCTACTTGTCTTTCCATTTAGTTTACCTTAGATCTTGCTAAATTCAGCAGCTGAAAACTTGCAGCTATGGACATGCTTAGGAAATCAGAAATTCTACAGTAAGTCGCACCTCTGTTTGACGCAGCCAGAATTTCAGTCATTACAATTTTAGAGAATGTCTCTTTCACAAGAGAAAAATATTTTGGAACTTTGCAGGGGGATCTCAGCAGTTCTTCAGTAATTCAGTAAAACTCATAATGCAGTAAGAAAAGGGTACAGATTTTAACCATTACAACACACATATCCTCAGTGAAAAGTAAATGCAGAACTAAAGCAGTACAAGTACCCTCTTCTGGACATGAATTCTTCCCAGAATTACCTATGGATGAGTATTACCGAGTTGGGATTCTTCTCACTTGAATACGTCTGCCTTTGGAGACAGAAGAAGAGCAGCTTACTGGCCATCTACGTATTCTTATTAATTGTACCTGTGCAAAGCAGAATCTTTCCTTTTGTTAAGTATTTGATGGTCTCTGCAGTTTTTTGCAGACACTCCTCGGACAGATAGGGTGGATCTGCTACCACAATGTCAAAACTGTGCGGCAGGAGATGTTCAGGTAAGTTCAAAGGGTTGTTGTAATCATAGAAGATAAATTCTTCTCCATACACAGAAAACCTTCTGTCATACTCCAGGATACACACGGAAAAATCTGTGCCATCCTGTTCTTTCAGCTTCTGGTACACACTGGGTGCACTGACACAGGCTATCCTGAAAAAGACACGTAAAATATTAAAATGCTGAGTTCAAAAGGCAACAAAAATAATTGCAATAAGGACAGTGCCGTAAGTTCTCAGAGCTGCTGTGGGAAAACATCTTAAACATTTGCCCCAGGTAATTTGAAAACTCGTTTTCAAATGAAAATCCTTGCAGAACTAAGAGGGAAAAGTTTTTCCATCTGTTCTGCAGAAATGTATGAAAATAGAGAAAAGAATTAGAAGACATTAATGTGCTCTGGAGCTCACTGAATTTTGTAGGGGGAAAAAAAAAACAAGAAAAAAAGATCCATAGTAAACTTTTGTTACTGGCACAGGTTGCCCAGAGAGGTGGTGGATGCTGCGGTCCTGGAGACATTCAAGGTCAGGTTGGATGCAGCTCTGAGCTCCTGATGGAGCTGCAGGTGTCCCTGTTCATGGCAGGGGTTGGATCAGAAGGCCTTTAAAGGTCCCTTCCAACTCTATGGATTCCACGATTCTGTCCAGCAGAGCCTACAACATTCACTGCAATTCAGAACAAGTTCAGTAAGAACTACTGATTAAGTAATGGCAAGGCATTTCTGCAACCTCCTGCAAAGGAAGATGAGGTACAAAAAGTAATGAATTACATTGCATGCTCGCCCTGCATAAATGGAACAATTACAGAAAAGACACATTAAACCCATAAGGTAGCTATTAAGTCCTACCTGCCACCTTTTCCTGCTGCCACAATCGCTTCATTAGCCAGGCACGATGCAGTCTCATCACTGTACCAAAACTGGCTCAGTTGCTGAGAAAAGTAACACACAATTATAAGCAACATCATATCTCCTGATTGTGAACAACTTGGTTGAGAGCCCTGTTTGAAGAAAACCCAAATCCATTGCAACTTCTTGGTTCACAAACTACAAAGGTGACATTTTCTAGAGAAGTTTTTTTCTTCTGAAACCCAAGGACAAACAGAAGGCAGCTTGCACTGTGTGTTTTCTAAAGCACTTACCTATGATAGCAGGAGAACCAATCATTGGCAGGGTTAGTTCAAACCCAATATGCAGAAGTGCAAAATAAACATTGAGTTACTTCAATGGAAAAGGAAAAAAAAAAACAAAACAACTTGAAAAACAACAATGTAGAAGGAAATGAAGGATAAAAGTAGCAAAAGAGATCAGAAACAGGAGGAGTAAAAAAAACAAACTCAGAGACAAAGTCAGTCTGTGAGATAAAAAAAATGCAGCAAGGCATCCACCCACACAACCAAAAAACTAAACACAAGCAGAAATACATGTGGAAGGAAAGCACATTCCTCTTGTAACAGTGTGTTGTTTCAAACCCAGGGAACAATCTTCACTGCCCTCACACACCAGGCTTTCAGGAGTTCAGTCTCCAAAGGGTGAACAAACAGATGATTCTGTTTGGAACTGGAACTTTATTCCCTTTCTTCATGTAATTGACTTGACTTAATTTTAAAGTGAATAACCCTACAGTGTTAACATCCACAAACAGCCTGGCCACTCTAGGAACACCTCAAGTGTTTGCCTTTTTATTATCTACCCACAAAAAGAAATCAATGTGCCTCATTTGCTGCAGGTTAGCTTCTTACCCAGTCTTCTTCTATTGAGCCAACAGAATATTGATTAAACCCCTGGGAGGTCTTCATGCCCTCTCTCTGCTGCTGTTCCAAATAGAACTCCTGGAGGGCAGCCAATGTATGGGATGACAGCTGGGGAACGTCATCATCATCATCATCCATTTTCCTAGACATTGCCCAGAAGGAAAAAAATATATATATATTAACCCTTTTCAATGGTGGAAGCTTTTAATAACAGCCTGCTTTCCCAAGGAAAAAAAAAACCAACATTCCTGACACCACGACAGCTAACTAGGAAAGCCTTACAGGGCACAGCACGCTTCCTCTGCTTAGCAGCTTTAAACCAGTCAGAGGCAGAATGCAAAGAGCGCGTCTCCAGAGAGAATACAGGAGCTGTTTCCTTTCTGCACAACACAGAAGTGGTCTGTATTTTTATAGGGATGTTGTCATGACACTTTGCATACCCTGCATCCAAACACCACTTTTGTATCAGCTTGCTGAAAAAAAAAAACAAAAGCTTTAATGGATGTTGCAAATCCTTTGGAATATTTACCCTTCCCTCCTAGGTATAACGATAGCTGCCAATCATTTCTTGCCACGTTGTAAAGTCACAATTTTGACTCCAAATGAATAAACCAGTGTTCGAGGATCACCCGACTTCACCTCCCACACTTCAACAAGCTTCCTCTGTATGCTACAAACCTGCAGCAGACCAGATGCTCGAGAGGATGCTTTGATGAACTAACACTGCACGACTGTCTTGTGTGCCCAACACAGACAGAGCTCATGTCAGAAGGACAAGGTACAAACCACCCAGCAGAGCCACTGCCAGACATTTGTCAGCCGGGCGCCACCGCCGTGCCGCTCAGCGCACCAGGGGCAGGAGCTGAGCGGTGCCGCCTTCCGTCCTTCCCAGCAGAGGCATCGCCACCTCGTGGAGCGAGGGTGACAAGCAGAAATCAATTGGGCCTGTGAAACTGGAATTTGTTCTTTTAAGAAACTAATTTGCTCTGCACTCATTCCACGAACTCATACACGTGCAATGACTTCAACAGAACTCAAAGCAGATGTGCCCCTTCCTTTGGGCAGAAGCCATGCATGTGAGAGGTCCCGCAGCAACGCGCGCCCCCTGAACCACAGCTAACTTCCAGGGGGAAGTACGCTTCACATTTCTTCCATCCTTGGCTGCAGTGAAGGCTGCAATGCTCACGGCCTTCTCGCTTTGCTCTGCCCTCCGTGCTGTGCATCCTGCAGAGCTTTCAGGGCATTTCCTAAAGCTCCGTTCCTCACTGCTTGCTGAAATACTCCACAGCTCACCTCCACACTGCAGCAACTGCTGTGCCGTTCTGGCGGCACAGGGCACAGCACGCGGAGTGCTGCGACACAGAGCCCATCGCCTGCCTCCTGCAGGATGGATGCAGGGATGCTGAAGCCAGCCCACCTGGGAACGACACAGCGCTTCCTTCTGTTCCTACTGCTCGACAACACATATTGCTAACATGCATCGTGGCCCTGTACAAGGACAGTTTTTGTTGGGACAAACGTTACAAATTACCTTTCACCTCTCACCTTCTCTTTAATTGTGTCACACATGCAGAAATCTGGTGTGCTGTTATGCCTAAAGCAAGCACGCATCTATGCTCTGATGCTAAGAAGCTGAAACAGATGCAAACTTGCAATTCTTAAGTCAAACACTGAAATTTTGATTTTATGCTCAATGAGCCCATCTGGCCCTTTGCAAAGACTGCATCTATACACATGAAATGAAATCCTCCCCGACAGAAGCTAAGATCTGTTGTTTTGGTGGAAGGGTGGGCATACAAGTAGAGGCATTTTTTTTCTACACGTTATTTTAGCCCCTTTTTAGCAATCTTCCTTTTGGTTTTGTGTAGTAAAGCTTCAGAAACCAAGCAGCAATTAACTGTGAGGCTGCAAGGAAAGGTAACTCGGAACACATGGCAGAAATATCATGAGGCCCACCTATTTGGAGCACTTCCACAACTTGAAACACTTTTCTGAATCATAGAATGACCTGGGTTGAAAAGGACCACAATGATCATTTAGTTTCAACCCCTCTGCTATGTGCAGGGTCACCAGCCACCAGACCAGGCTGCTCAGAGCCACATCCAGCCTGGACGAATGAACGTACATTGTGCGCAGTGACTGACTGGCTCAGGTCATCAGCATGAAGATGTTTTTATGTGCATGAACTGCATTGTAAAACTATTACAGTGAGTGAGTTTATGAGAACAAGACTTGTAAATTCCTTTGGCTTCAAGTGATCAGGAGGCACTACTACTTTGAAACACAGCCGTCCCACACATTGCTGCCCTGAAGTCCAAAAACAGCCCTGAAAGTTGAGGAAGGATGGGACGAAGCAGAGGAACCCACAGTGCCTCTAAGCATGATCAACAGGAATACGAAGTTTAAAGCCAGCAATGTGTCTTGTCTGATTTACTGTTATGTGAATGCTGCTGGCCTCCAAAGGGGCAGCTTGACCCACTGAACAAGCAGAGAGAATTGCACCAACACCACACACTGCACCCCACAGCCTACAGTTTGCAGGACAGGGGAAGGTGCCTGCAGAGCCCTGTCCATGCACAGCTGAGCCCCTGCCGGCTGCTGAGCTGTCTGGGTGGATGCACTGCTTGTGTGTGAGAATCTTCTTAAAAAAATAACAACAAAAAAGAGGTAATAACGTCAAGTGGAAGTAGCAGCATGGAAGGCTCCACTGCTTTGGCTAAGGAGCAACTGTACAATTTAATGTTGGTTTCCAGTTCTCATGTATGAAAACTCTTAATTTTACACAGCCAAGCCCTGAAGTGGGGACAAAATAAAGTCAGAAGGAACACTGTGGAAAAACTCACTCAAAAATTCCTAAGGGCTTTCATAGTCTTTCTGTGCCCCAGTACATTCGGTCCATCCACAGTTAGGAACATACAGACATCTGGAAACCAGCACTGTGAGATACAGTGCAGCTCCTGTGCACAGATGTGCCCGTGCTCCTACAGCAGAAGCTTGGGAACTCGCACTCACCCAGCTAGGTGAGGCTGCATGTCCACGCATCACTGCTTACCCCACAACTACAGAAGATGCAGTCAATCCTTCCAGAGCCGCAGCACCACTCAGGAGGGATGTTCAGGAGGCAGCACAAGGTGGGACACGTATTTACAAAGCTACCTCAAAAATTCTCTTAAAGCAGGCAGCTGCTCCTCCAGAACTTTTACCTCCAGGCTGTGCTACAGCTGACTAACTACCACTTTTCTGCCAGAGGAGAGTTCAACCTGGCGCATGACTGCAGGTCAGGCTTCCCTATCAACTGTGTAATGCAGAAATACTGCATGATGCTCGCACGAGCAGAGGGAAATGTGACTGCTCTGCCAGTTTCCAGTACTCACCCTTTATGGTACCCTGAAGAAGTAATCTCATTGCAATAAATGTCCCTTAACAAAAGGGAGGAAGGAAAGACTACTGGAAGGCCAAGAAATATTAATGCCACTGGGAACTGGTGCTGTTAACCTTTGTGAGGGGAGGAAGGATGCTGTTAGCTCCTGCAGTCTCTTACCACAAATATAAAACGTGCACATGCAACTTCAGAAAAGAGTGTTCTAGTATAGCACAGATAACACTAAGGCCAGTGTGCAACTGAATAAAACATAGCAGTATTTTTCCCAAGCCACCCATGTTAGCATTTGAGGCACAGAGCCTGTCATTGATGACATATGAAACATGTGCCAAGAAAACCCGGGCAGCGATACAGCATCAGGAGAGTTGGCTGGAGGTGAACAAGTCTCCATCAGGGGACAGAAGTTACTCCAGAGCTGGACACGTGCCTTGCTACCTGAAAAGCAAGGGGCTCTGTTCATGTTCCAGCCGCTGAATGCAAGGATCCAAGGCCCAGGTCTCCACCAGCAGCAGGCAGCCAAGCAGACTTCTCTCAGCGGTCCTGCTCCAAACAGAAATTACCCTGACACAGAAAGACCTCTCCTCTGAAGTGTTCAGATCTTTAAATCTGAAAAGCAATTTAGTGAAAGCTCAGCTTTTGCTCAAGGATCTGACAAGTTACCTGAGCACTGCCAAATGTACAAGAATGCCAAATTTCACAAGAGGGGCTGACAGGACAAAGCATATTAAGTACAGCAGCCAAAGTAACAAAGTAACAAAGTATCAAAGTAACAAAGTAACCACAACAATCCTCCTAGCATGGTGCAGCCAGAAGAAACTGAGAGGTGCTAGGCTACATGTGCATCTGTTTCATAAGGTCTTCCCAAAGTGAAACAAAACTCCTCAAACATCTGAGATGTCTGTCAACCAGCTGCAAGGCTTTGGGGCCTGGTAGCATCACACAGCCACTGAGGGAGATCCCAGGAGGGGGACATCAAAAAAGAAGGCCTGACAAACCTGCATACAAAACGGAACTGGGAAGGAAGGAGGGACAAGATGATGTGAACCTGAGGCATTCACAGTCCAAAAACAGCTCAATTTTGGGATCTCTGAAGAACTTTCATTAACATCCACAACAAGAGGTTCAAAAGAGAAGCTTCACTAGTTCAGACAAGGGTTGATGCTGGCAGTTCTTGAAGTATCTTGAAGACAGCCAGAACCAGCTGTCCTGGAAAGAGTGAGACTACGGCAAGTAAGCAGAGGTGACAATGACCCACTCTGCCTTCTCCCAGTCTATAATCTTTCTCCATGAAGGGCATTTCTGGCTGAAGTGATTTATTCTGGGAATGCAGTTCTCTAACAGACCCTTACCAGTATCCTTAAATACACATAAAGTGATCTATAATGTCCCACAGCAGCAAGTTCCACGTTATGAAACCCGACCTCTTCTTGCAGTGAACATGGCTACTGGATCCACTAGATGCAGGCACTTATCGCACGGGAAGGAACTGATGTGTGACCCCACCTCATACAGCCCCACCACTCCACAGCCATGTGTGGGCTGCTCCCCCTCAGCCGCTGGCTTCTGTCCCTTAGCAGAGCTTCCCTGTATTCATCAACCCTCATTCCTCTCTTCTCCCACACTACGCTCTCTGCCGCAGTCCCTCTTTTTCCCTTAATAATTCCAACATTTCCTGCCTGATATGTTTTTCATAGAATCATAGAATTGCTCAGGTTAGAACACACCTTAATGATCACCAAGTCCAACCACAACCTGACCATCCTACCCTAACTAACAGCCCTCTGCTAAATCATGTCCCTGAGCACCACATCCAAACAGTTTTTAAACACATCCAGGGATGGTGACTCAACCACCTTCCTAGGGAGCCTATTCCAGTGCTTCACAACCCTTTCTGTGAAGAAGTTCTTCCTGATATCAAACCTAAACTTACCCTGGCACAACTTGAGGCCATTTCCCCTCGTCCTGCCACCTGTCACCAGTGAGAAGAGCCCAGCCCTGCTCTCGCTGTAAGCACCTTTCAGGTGCTGGAAGAGAGCAGTAAGGTCTTAGCCTCCATTTTCCCAACCTGAACAGCCCCAGTTCCTTCAGTCTCTCCTCTTAGGCCGTATTCTCCAAGCCCTTCACAAGCCTTGTTGCCCTTCTTTGGACCTGCTCCAGCACCTCCATGTCCTTTCTATACTGAGGTGCCCAAAACTGAACACAGCACTCGAGGTGAGGCCTCACCAGTGCCGAATACAGGGGCAGGGTGACTTCCCTAGTCCTGCTCACCACTCCATTCCTGATCCAAGCCAGGATGCCATTGGCCTTCTTGGCCACCTGGGCACACTGCTGGCTCATATTCAGCCAACTGTCCATCAGTACACCAGGGTCCCTTCCCACCAGGCCGCTTTCCAGCCACTGCTCCCCAGGCCTGTAGGGTTGCCTGGGGTTGTTGTGACCAACAAGCCGTGCAGAGCCGTGTCCCACACCCGCGCCCTGAGGCTGCAGCGGGGCGGACGGCCTGCAGAGCGCGGCCGGGAGGGACAGCCGCGCTGCAGAAGCGCGGGGGAATCGCTCCGTACGTACGACCTCCGTCCTGCACCGCCCGTCCCCTCCTCTCCCCGCATTAACGTGCCGGGCGCCGGCAGCCGCTCCCACAGCGCCCCACGGCCTCGCAGCGCCCTACGGCCAGCACAGGCTCTCGGGCACCGCGGGAGGAACGCCAGCCCGGTCCCGGCCCCTCCCGCTCTCACGGCGGACGAGAGGCGGGCGGACGAGCACACCGGCGGCCGCACCACTCGCCTCCCCGCTCGCACTCACCGGCCGACAGATCCCTCCGCGCACCCGGGCCCCGCCCCTCCCCAGCGCCGCACGCGGCCGTATGGGCCGAGGGGCGCGCGCCCCCTGCCGGCTCCGCGGGAGGAGGGCGGTGCCTGGCGCTGCTCTGCCCGCCCCTTCCCGCCCTTTCTGAGGGGAGGCCTCGCGTGCCTCCCGGACGGTGGGCCTGTGCTGTTTTGCGGCCGGCTGTCCCGCAAGGAGTGGAGCGCGGCCTAAAGCCGGCCGAGGGACTGCCTTGGGCGGCAGGCGCGCTCGAGCCCTTCTTCCCGCAACTCCGGTGCTCCGAGAGGCTCCAAAACAGCCTCACCTCGACTAAGCGATTCGCAGCTTAGAGATGAGCCGCATAAAACCGCACGGCCGTCTCCAGAGCTGGATGTGCCCAGAGGCGCCGCTGTTCCGAGGCACCGCTGGAGCGCTCCGGTACGCAGCGTTGTGCTGAGCGTTGGAGGGCTCAGCTCCGGCCCTGCGGCAGCGCACTGCCATCTCAGTGCTGGGGAGGAACGTCAACACCGAGGGACAGGGACCTGACTGCGTGCTGCATTCCGTGCAGCTTTGTTTTAGGTAGAAAAAAAAGGTGCTCAGAGGGCTGATAGAATTGAAGAATGGAAGGGTAAAGGAGGCTGTGCAGCCACTTCTGATGGGCGCAGCTCCCTGGAGCACCAGGCCCTGCTGCCACAGATGGCTCCTCCTTTCCAAAGGGTCACGGAATCACGCACAGCTCTGCAGGCCTGGGGGCGGGCAGGCAGCAGCCTTTTGGCTTTGCTGTAAGGCACTGCTTGGAGCTGCTTGGACCTGTGATAGGTGATGGTGGCAGGAAAGCAGAGATGCTGGAATGATCCTTTGCAAAGGAAAACTGGTTATGTCTTTCAGAACTGCTTCTCTGGGGACATGAGAGCAAACCAGCCACCAGTGTGGGAACACCAGTCATGTGAACCCTACAATATAGTTATTGTATATGCTTTGTTGTTTCTTAATCCTTTTTTTGCAGAAGTTGCCCAAAGGTAAGCTATCTACCCCTGCCTTGTCAGTCACAGACAGTTTTCTTGGAAACACAGTGATGTGGACATCCCTGAGACTCCTGTCTGACCATTCAGACCACTGCTGCTTCACTGACACATCAGCAAGTGCTTTGTGTTGGAGCAGCTCAGGACCAAAGCACACAGCAGTTTTTAAAAAACAATTTATACACTGGAAAGCAATAGCCACTTGCTGCTAATCAGGATTTTGTGTTTTCACGTTTGGGCTTTTATAGTCCACCATATTTTGTCTTTACTGATGGAAGTCGTGCTTAACAGCTATTTTCCCAAAAACATTGATGTTTTGAGCAATGGCAAACCAAGTGCACATTTCAGTTGGAAGACAACCAAGCACACAGTACTTAAATATAGACGGACTGCTTCTAGTGATGCAGACACAAAACACAGCATGCTCTACCAGTGGGGTACTCAGTGTACATCACCTGGTCCCCGCAGCACAGGTTACTGTCGGCCTTCTAGGAGCTCTCAGTCATCCTCTGAATTTTCAGTGCAGTAGGAAGGAGGTTTCAACCTCAGCCCGTTTATGGACTCTCAGTTCTCTCTCATGGATGTGCAAATATTGCATGTGATCAGGATGACTTCTCTTTTATCAGACCTTGTAGAGCCCTTGCACATAATTCATGGGCCACAAAGAGGGCTACAGACCTCAGATGGAAAAGCATTTGGGAGAAATGTAATGGTGCTGATGTTTTAAATGGATTTTAGATGGCAGAATTGTAGGGGCTGGCAGGGACCTCTGGATGTCATCCACTCCAACCCGCTGCTAACGCAGGTTCATGCAGTAGGTCACACAGGGAAGCATCCATTTAAAAAACAACAAAATCAAACAAACAACAAAACAACCCCCTACCCTGAAACGGGATGACCATTACCTCTGTACTTCTTATATATCAATTGATTTTACTGTTCCACATTGTCCCCAATTTGTGCTGTGCTCTCTCTCAACAGAAGTTATGAGATATATATACTGACATCCTAACTTGATGGATCTTTGTGGCCAGGGCCTTCTCACATTCATTTTTGTTTCCCCCCCCAAAAGTTGCAATCACTCTGCCATCACAAGAAGCAGGAAGGAAAATATATAAAATATATTTAGCAAAACCAGTAAAATTAAAGTAGAACAGAAAATGCAGTCAAGTAGCAAACATTATGTACAGCAGCGGTTTTACAGTTTGTCCTACGCATACCTCCGTACTTATTTCACATACGCTTCTTAAGGAGAAGGAAGAAAACAGAAACACGCTTTTATGACAGAACACATATTTTTCCTGAACAGTAAATGGGGTTTATCACTGCTTTTGCAGGTCCAATTCAGTTTTTGTGTATATATGTTTCAGCAAAATAAGAGGACACCATTCTCTCAGTCCCTAGATTAAAATGACACCGTCTTCCTCCTGCAGACCACACCGGTATCTCACACAACAGTTACACTCACAGCATCTAGACATTATCTGTCCATTTCCAAGGATGTAGGTAACAAACAACCGAGATACAAAACAGGTATCTAATTTTTCCAGCTTTCCTGAGGCTGAGTGAAATGTTCACATACATGTGCGCTTAGCAAAATTCCATGTTACAGTACATTTTTAACAGTAGTTTGTTAAACCATGAAAGTGCATAACAGCCTACAAGCAGGCAGAAAGTACTTCGGAACAGTCTCTCCTTACAGTGGCAGAATGCCAGCCTTCCCCAGAGGAGTGCTGGTCTCGTGAGAGGACATCAGTGTCTTCCTAAAGACTCCAAAGTGTGGCGATGGGCTTTGGTTTCTGTTACAGCAAGCATCGTGGAGCAAAGCAGCACTACAGGTATTGGTGCGGTACTAAAACTAAAGGCAATGTCTTGCCAACTCCGATTATGGAGGAATCTTTCAAGTCAAGCACTGGTGAGTTTGTGGTAAACAGCACGGTGACAGATCGGGAGCGACCTGAATACATCATGAACCCAAACTGTGAAATCCACAGCAATGAGTTACAGCAAACCAGTCACGAGTGGCGAGACAGACATCAATGGGAAGGGAAAGGGAACACATCACACAAAGCTGCTGCCTTCTTTGGACTTGCAAAGACAACGTGGGATCAGCAAAATCAATCTGGTAACAGCTGATAGGTTTAAGGTGAGAACGGTTGTGCCATGAGATTCAGAGATAGGAGCAGAAAGAACGGTGGTTACACAGCACACGATGGTACTTCGGTGTTTGCTGGAGGTGATTTACCTGAAATGCTTCTCCAATAAAAAAGATTCCGTTATATAATTAGCAAACCTCATGCTAATGGTGTCGTATCACACGATTCCAAAACAACCCCACTCTGCTGGGAGGGCAGCATTTACTGACCCTTGTGGGATGACACCGGGTAATGACATGTTGACACGTGCACTGTGAACTTGCTTTTCTTCTTACAGAGTAGCGTGATTTTTCTTTCTTATCCCTATAAAAGGCTGCAAACGTTTCACTTCCTACTCCTCATGCCCACTTCCAGACCTCTTCCTCTGCTCAGCAGCCAAACTGCTCCAGCAGCCTTTAGTTAACGGCCATCAGGAGGGAAAACCAAATAAACCAGCCACTAACTTCAAACGCAACTGAAGCACATGGAAATTTCTTAAAGGAAAAAAGGAATGGGTGTTGCATACATTTCCACAAACAAACATGAGTAAAGGTTTTGTACCCAAATCATTCAAGTTTATTCCAGACCTCGTACTTAAGGTAAAATAGTTCCATTTTCTACACGCAAGGCTGTTGGATGTGCTGCTGCTCTCAGGGACTTTGCCAGCTGTTCTCAGGGACTTGCTCAAAATTACCTTTGATGTTCCTATCCTTCACCAGAAGAGTCACTGAACTAAAGCAGGCCAATATCAAGGTATGGTTGCAATAACTGCACTTTAGAAACCAGTACAATTGCAGTGATACATAACGGCCAAGGTTACAGCAAGCTGCCAACACCACAGCTGTCACGGAGTTTTACTTCCAGGCTTCGAGAATTTTTCTTCCTTAAAAAAC